CTCTATACAGCAGTCGCTGCAAGCATCCACATCGGCACACTTACTTTTCTTTAAGCCACCTCTCATTGCTTTGTAATTTTCTTACAACGAGTCAGACTTTCTTGCATTTTCAAAGTCCTTTTGAGCAATAGTTCTCAAGGTTTTCTTGAGGCCTTTCAAAGTTTTTCTTAAGACATTTGTCTGCTTTTCACTCATTTTTAGTCCATTCTTTACACCTTACTCCTCGACCCATGAATCACTCAAACATTAAAAAAAAAAGAACCTAAATCGGTACCGTTTCTAAACATATCAGACAACTTGGCAAAGAATCGATTGTAAATTATATCCTTAAGCATTTTGTGTAGTTGCACAGATGTGCAAAACACATCATTCCTGTTTCTTTAGTTGAATATGTGAAAAATGTCAAAGATAATGCAGTTGGGCAGGAATAAAAATAGCATTTTTGCACCACCAAGGTGATTCCCAAAGAGCTGTTAGCCGAAAACTTGTGTTGCCTTAAAAAACTGGACAAGTGGGAGGACAAAAGAAAAAGTGGCGGGGCCAAAAAACCCCCCAGAAAAACAAAAATACTTCAGATGAAAAGTATCTGAAAGTCATGTCTTAAGAAATAGGAAAAAAGTCCAGCAAAGACCTGAGACAGGACATGAGAGGTAGCAGCATCACCAGAAATGCTCTCAGCGGAAGGTTAAGAATACATTCTTATTGAATGTATAATTATAATGGAGTGATTCATCCAGACTTAAAAGGTTTGAGTCGGCAGAGAAAAACTATTTAAGCCATAACAACCCAAATAATACACAAAACCCCCACTCAGATTCATTTAAACAACTTTTATTTATTAAGTTTTTACAAATAAAGTAACAAATTTATTGTATTGTAGCGCAAAGCGCAAAGTTTTGTTTTTAATAAGAAGCTTGAACACTCTATACTTAGTGCAAAACATACCATTAAAGGCTGTCGATGACTCCTTACATGTATTTATTTATTTTTTGTTCTCTTTCATTCTTTCATATTTGTTTACTTAAAATCCGACCATGTTTGAACAATGTCAACCACGATACAGAAAAAGGAAAGCAATGAATTAAATTAGGAGCTGGTAGAGACAGTAAAACGGCACAGTGAGAATTCAAAAAAACAAAATGTGAGAGTGGAGAGAGACAAGAAACAAAATCGACATATTTTCAGCAACGCTCACAGAAACCGTTGCTGTTTTCAACACATCATTTCACAGGAGCAAGCTACATAAAACAGTGAGGAGTTGCATGTATCTGTGACTGTGGCTTTGTGTGTGTGTGTGTGCTGAAAGGCAGAATCTCTTTTATTGTTGTTTTTCTCTCTCTTTTGTTTGTTTTTTTTTTTACATGTGGGCACTTCTACAGTGAAAAGCGTAAAGGGTAAGCGAGTCCTGAAGAGGCGAAAACTGGAAAACACATCAACAGGAAACTGATTCTAATGCAAGCGAGTTCAAACTATTGCTACACCGTGCACGCCTCTCCTGAAACACACAATCCTACTTTTCCACTTTAACTCGAGGAAACTTCACAATAAGAGTGCCTGTGCTGGAAAACTTTCGAGCCTTTCACAGTAAAATTCCTCCACGACAACTCCAAAACTTCACAATAACTGCACCCACTTCCAGCAGGGGCATAGCCGTCAAAACCTACTGTAATCTCAGTTTGATATTGATATTATTAAAGTGACAGTTTTAATACTGCATGCAAGGGCATTGCAGCGCAGCAGGTATTCCTTTTATTGTAATCATTGCGTAACAGAGAGACAGTAAAATATGACCAAACCTCAAATCTGCAGCTGCAAAGTGCAGATCCAGGATGATACCTGGCACAGCTCCAGTGAATTAAAGCAGGTAACTACGCCACTTTTTTTCCGCCACTGACAAAAACAAAAAATCAAATGGCACTGAGTTTGTGGCATCATTAAAGGTCTGACAGAATGCTTATATTGAGAACTCAGAAGCAAAGTGGCTCAATGACTATTCACAGCTTCAACCAAACTTGCCAAGTAGTAAAAAATGTCGCGTTATTTTTCTCTAGGAATATAACGATAAAAGATCTATGCTCTTTTGCACAAACTTTACAAAGTAACTTACACACAATCTGGCAAAAAGCAATGGAAAGATGCAAAGCTTTGAAGTTTGTACCAAATGTTTAATTTGTGTTACAGGTTAAAAAAACAAAACAAAAAAACAGTAGAGGGTGCCAGAGGCCTTGCACGTACTCCCTTAAATCCATCAATCATCATGACTGCCATCATCTCTGTCATACCTTCACTCAAAAACTCGTTAAAGCTGACTTTTATTTGTTGGTTTTTCAATTTCTGTAAAGACAGCTGACAACTGTGCTGCCTCGTTAATATTTTTGCAGAATTTTTATGGGTCCTGACAAAGTACTGCCTTGTTTTTCTTTATCTTTCTTTCTTCCAGCTAGTTACTTCCAACTAGTTTAAAATGTATCAGAAAAAGTTGATGTTACAGAGTATCTATATGCACCAAACACTTTTTTGGCTGCATTTTTTTAAAGTTGCATTTTCAAGTGTTAGGTTGCTGCTTATTTAGATATACCGAACCTTCTTTAGACTCGGTTTGACTAATGCATCTAATGCATGACTGGATCACAAGATTACAGCTGTTGTTTACCGTGTCTGAAAGTGTCCAGCTGACTGCTTGGCTACTTCCTGTATATGTGACTTTTGCTAGATAGTTAAAGGCTAGCAAACAAACACAGATAATTCATTTGTGACTTGCAAAGGAGGCAGAACAATAGGAAAAAGGACCTATACTGTACATCTTGCACTGGTGACATGCTTTCCTCTGAAGTCCTTGAGGGGAATGCATCAGGGCACAACGATATTTACACTTCAAAAGAAGTGGCCTGATGCACTGCAGACTACCTCAGCCTATCACAGTGTGCCTTGGTGGTCCTTTTTATATTTAGTGCCACATCCACATGTGATCTGATCCCTCCAGATACATTTTAACGCCAAGTATAAACAGATTTCAGACATACCTAAACAGGGCCATTAGCCTGCACTTCTCACAATATTTCAGTAAACCCAAATTATTCTGACAGTAGAGCGCGACATCATGGCCTATATCACATTCCTGGTTAGCTCTGATGGTCTCAGAGTTTCAAATCCTGACAGAAAGTTAAAACGAGTCTTTAATATCAGCTGATCTCACGTTAAAAAGAACATTATGTCACTGTACCACGGCATGCTCTCCCCGCAAGTATGCTGCACTCGGGTCAAAGTACAGAGTGGTCCAAGCTTCGAATACAATCTTCAATAAACTCCCTCCTTAAAACTGAAGAAAAAAATAATAATATACAGCAATAGAAACAACACTGATAACAAACGGTTGCCTTTCTCCGTCTCTGGACGTCAATCTCAACCTTCGTTCAAACGGCAGCAGAGCATTTCACTCCAAATTTCCCCATTTTGCAGAAAATACACTCAGGAGGAATCATCACAAGCCGGCCTAAACGTGCGCGCACATATACACTGCAGGCCTCATCCGCTAAACTTCACAGCAACAACCTTATATCCTCCACACATTCTGTCCAATGTGCTCACTTTAACCTCCAATGGAGAAGCAACAGGAAGGAAGCAAGGCACTAGTTTAATACCTCCAGCCATCACTAGAGGCTCTAGAGGGGTCAGGGGGAGCGAAGACAAGCGAAAATAAAAGACAGGGTTTTTTTTTTTCAAGTACATTAAAAATGGACACCATTGGTTTTTATACATTCACATTCATCTAACAAAACCAGGGGAGAAAGGGAAGAGGAGGGCTATTTAAAGTGTCTGATAGACAAGTACTGTATTAAGAAAAAAAATAGCTAGCTTTACTTTATTATCTAAATATCGACTATCCTGCCGTTCACGCCGGTTTGTCTTTATACTCAGGTCAGTTTCGGCTTTCAATTCACCCAGTTTATAGAGATGACCTGAAAAAACGGATTGATTAGTTGTTGGTAAGGCATTGGTTTGGAAGTGTGTCCTCAGTAAACTGACAGAAGGACGCTTATTGGAAAAAAAGAGAAAGAGAGAGAGGGGTTACCGATCTCCAAAAATTCGTTTGTGGAAAGCTGTGAATTGAAAGCGAAAGGACCCCGAAAAACTATTCTAAATATGCTTTTTTTGTTGTTTTTAAATTCACCCTAAAACTAATGTTGTCCAACAACATTTGCTAATAACAAACAACAATAATCACAGTGTCTCCACATCATACAGCGATGTGCACATATAACAGGTCCATTGACAGAACACGGTTTTGTTTTTTGTTTCTTTTTAAATAGAACAATCATTAACAACAATAATTATGACAATAATGTACATTGCATTTCAACCCAGATATTGAAAACGACCTAATTATGACACTAAGAACTGAGGCACGGCCCATGAGTCTGACAGCTGACACCTCCAACTATGCGTGAGTGTATTTACATGAGTCTGTGAATGACTGTATGCGGCTTTGTGTATTTATATGAATGTCATAAGAGTTGCGTGGGTGTGTGAATGTGTATGCGTCAGATTGCTAGCTGGGGTGGCGGTAGGTGGGTGGGGCAGGGGGCAACAAGGGAACCAACCCGACGACACACACACAAAAAAATGGAATCATCATAGCAGACATTCGAAAAAACAGACACGAACTATACATGGATATTATCTTGATAACAAGGTCACTTTTACACACTGAGTTCTCTTGTGTTCGGGCTTTTTTTGTCCTCTTCTAAAAGGTTTCTGCTGTTATTGCTTCAAATTGCAACAGGGAGGTGAAGAGAGAGGGACGAAAGAAGTCGTGAAGCATCTGTTCTGCCCGTTTGGGACCCCCATCGACATGAAGTGAGCTGAAACAGGAAGCTGATGGAGGGCTTTCCCACTTCCATCTCTCTCTACCTGCTTGAATACTTTGCCACACTGAGCGGTGGGGAGGGGGAGAAGAAGACGGCGGAGATGCTGGGCTACATCTAGTCTCGATATGTATTTGATTTAATCTTGACTCGCTTTGTGCTTTTAAAGGTTAGGAAGGCTCTCCAACTTCCAAACGACTTCCTGAAACATTCGATTAGAGTTATGCGGACTCGTCTTCTGCTCTCACCTCACCCTTCTATCTGCTGCCATTTGCATCTCCTCCTGTAATCCTTTGATTTAAGGATGCTAACTGCTGCCAGAAACACTGATGATTTTGATTCCTAACACTAAGCAACAATATCGGTTAATGTGAGGACTAGCAATGCTCACCCCCAATGGAAGAAATGCATATTTGCAAGTTTTTTTGTTGGGATTTCTAGCAGAGACTGATAAACATGGATAGCAGAGGCCTTAAAATCAGTACCAGCAGGAATTGATGAGAAGGTACTGCACGGACACAAAGGCTCAAGTTGGATTTTGTAAAAGCTGGCTACCACATTCTTCCTCCTCCTGAGCCTGATGCAATGTCGTCTGTCTAGTAAGCACGGCTCGCTAACCCATATTATGTAAAGATATGTTAACTCATGTCAGAGCGTGAAATCCAACAAGTGTAAACCAGCCATTAGAGCAAACATGCAGACAGTTATTGACAGCAAGCCCACACACCCTGTCAGAACCTCTTTGGCCTTTTATCATTGTACTCTGAGTCTTTTTCTTTTGCTACAAGCCCACAGCAGAAAGGCTGCACTGCTTTTCTCTGAAGTGCAGCCTGAAGTGGCTTCTCATGCACACGCATGCCTACCCCCGTCTCAACCCCCCCTCTCCCAACAAAAGAAATAAAATCAATCACACTTTCTAGTCAATCCAGCGATGAACACTCCACTTCACACCAGTCCTCTCAGGCCGTGATTTAAACCGGCCCCGACTCTGAGCCCTACGTGGTCCTCAAGTTGGGTCCTCCTGGGTTACTGACTGATTTCTGCAGGGTATTGGTCACATGGAAAGCTTGGAGTGGCCCCTGGCCTGGAATCTGTCCCTGTGGCGTGGGGTAGGGGCCCAGGGGTTGGGAGGTACTGACCAGCAGAGGCTGTGTTGGTGCTTGGTGTGGGGTGGACAGGCTGTGAGCCGGACCAGACCATTGTGCACTATAGGCAGCAGTTGGGGTGTAGTGGATGAACTGGGGAAGCTGGGGTTGGGGTGGAGTGGAGGAGGCAGGAGGGTGGCATAAAGAGCCCTTTCGGGCAGCCAGAGAGGTAGCGGTGCTGGAGTTTGTTGGGATGTGGGCTGAACCACCTATGCTGCTGGGACACAGCTGGCTGGGAGCGGAGTACTTCCTGCCCAGACTGGCTGACTGGATAACCTGCAGGGGAGGAGAAACGTCACTCAAAATTCAAAATTAAGCATTTTTCTCTTAAATAATTTGATTCTAGTTCCCTGTGCTAGGTAAAGGAGTTAAAATTAATTATTAACCAAGCCTGCTTAAAATGTAAGTTAAAAAAAACAACCCAAAAATACAGCCATGCGACATTTATCTTAGCTAAACAAACTGGGTTATTCTCTGCACCACCAACACAGCAGATTCGCTTCATGTCAGGTGGAATTTAATAATTAAATAACCAAAACGTTTTTTTGGGAATTTGCATGTCTGAAAAGTAAAAAGTATCAATTTGAAAAATCAATATCACATTGTAATATAATAACTTGTAAATTTTACTGTGTTTTTAAATGGCACATGATGCAAAATAATGCATTTTAATTAAACACCAAAAGATCAGTTGTTAAGGGAATACAATAGCACATCATCCAGAAATCTGGATGTAGTAAAGCAGGCAGGGATCAAACAGCTTTTTGTGTTTTTTCTAAGAGTTTAGTGCAGAAATGATGCGATGTGGTGTTTTTTAATATTAACCTCATAGCTGTGTCCCTGCACCGGAGCCTGCTGCAGCTGTTTGGCACTCCTCTTACCCTGAAACAGTTCAATATTTAATTTACTGTGCAAACATAATGATGTAATATATAATTAATCACAAAAAACTGCTTCCATGTCCACTGATAACAGAAAAAATATTTGTCATGTTCATGACCTTTCTCTTAAGATTAACACTGCAAGGCACAAAGTTATGGCTAACACTTTTTGTATACATCCAAAAGGCCTTGGATCGGGTTTCTTCAACAGATCAAACACATTTGCATTTCTAAAAAGGAGGTTTCAGAGTTTAAGCTCTTTCCTCTCTGTCTTCATATCTAGTGAACTAACTATGGGACCTGCTGAGTCACTGATAAAATATATTTTTCTTTGATATGAAAACTCTTGCTATGTTTTAAAATATACATTCAAAAACAGCACTAAACCTGTGAGAGGTTCATGGCATCTCTGGCCCAGTTGTCCACCAGTTTATGAAGGTCATCGGTGAAGGTTCCTTTCCTCTGGTGTGGGGCTGGCATGTTGGGGGCCAGACACTGAGAACCCCCCTGGCTTTGACCCAAACCACCTGAACCGCTCACTGCATTGGTGCTATTCGTCCCTGAGAGTCAAGACAGACACAAGGGAGGAGGGAAAAGAGCAAATAGTGTGAGATAATGTTTAAAAGGTGAGGCAAAGCTGATGTTATCTGGATGATTGTGATTGGCGGCAGGCGGCTCTGTCTTAACCACAAAGGGCAGACAGAGGTTGGTCAGGTCAGGAGGTTTAGGGCAGCTGAGCATGTGGACATGGTCACAGAACTGCATTGTTTAGTTTTAATGATGGAGATCATGATGATAAACAGGAATAAGAGACAACTTATGATAGCAGAGGAAGGGCACTTTGGCAGTTAGGATAAATGCTGAACCCTTTATAGTATATATATCTTATTTATAACAAGGAATCAGATCACACTGGACAGCCTGTAGAGCATTCAAAATGCCCCTGCAGTGACCCGGTGCACCTCTTAACTCTGAATACATTTCCCAGACACTAGATGGTGCTCAACCTCTGTATCAGGAAGTATTATGTGTTTTTTTTTCACCCACTACCAAACTTAATGCAGACTAAACTCCAAAAAAAAGCACACACTGCAGGCTGGCTTTTTGGCATCTGTGTTCCCCATACCGTGCTCAATGACGGGGTAATGACAGGGCTGGTCTATCAATCCAACAGGAAACCACCAAAAACTGGCCTGTGAAATAAGCTCTTTGCTACAAGACGCTGCACACTCTTCTGCTTCAAACAACAGTTTCAAGTCCCTTAATTCTGGATCCCTTATACTGCAGACAAGTCTTTGAGAATACAGGTTTATCTTTTGTAAATATGCAATTTTTATAAATAATTTAGGTCTGTGGAAGAGAAGATAAAGATTCATTTATAAATGCTACGAGGAAAACCATAAAGATATGTAAAGCATATACACATACTGCAGATAGATCATGTTTTCTTATGTTTTAAACATCCCCATAACTGCACATTACCCTTATAATCACACTAAGCTGATGCACTTCCTTTGCATACAAGATCATCCCAAAGCCATGCCAGCAGAATGAGCATGGGCGTTAAATATTGACATGATTTGTTCATATCAGATATTAAATGAGAACAGGCAGAATATGCAAGGATTGTCAAGGATTCTACAGTTGGTCTGACAAAAATAAATCAATCAATAAATAGAAATAAACTGTCATGTCATGCTAAACAAAATGGAGGAAAATAAGAATGAGGAGACGCTGAGTCATGAACGACTGCAGCAGCATGGGATTCTGGTCTATGTAGTCCAAGCCAAAAGCCATGGTGAAGGCTGAGAGGAACGGGAGGGGCAGCTTGTATGTGTTAGTGTTTGGCACATTTTATGTGTGTGTGAGAGAGAGGGAGAGCTTGCAGGTGCATGCGCTGTCAGTTTAGATCTGTTAAGGCTACACACTTCAGTTATTTCAGCCCTCAAACTGGACTTTCCCTGAAACGCCATCATCGAAACTGCAAAGCTCGTCTTAGCTGAAATAACTGAAGTTAACGGATCTCAAATCTGGCAGAGGGTCGGAGCTGTAACCGACAGGGCGTCAGAAGGCGGGAGGAAGCGTGGGAGAGCAAGTGCAAGGATGGAGGAGTTGGTATGGATGGAGGGAGGGAGGAAAGACCAAAAAGAGAGATAGTTACTACAGAGCTGGTTGCAGGGGCAGACTTTTTTCACCATCTTCCCTGTGCGCCGGAAGACAACAATTGGAGGGATCGGGAGAGAGTCAGAGTTAAGCCCCGCCCACAACACACAACAACCAAACACAATGCACATTGTGACAGGTATAAGCATAATAATGTGACCTTGAAACAAACAAGACTTTGGTGTTGAGCTGCCCAGGAACATCTTAAAAACCTGTCACACAATGTAACATGTCCCCAGAAACACAAAGCAAATAGTGGAGGAGACTTTGCCCCTGATTATTATTATTATTATTATTATTTAATGTACAACCACACAAATGAGTAAAGCATTTTCTGACAATGGTAAGATACACAGACAATTTTCTGCAGATATGCAGTCGACAGTTACTTTTAGCCCAGAGGTGAACATATTATTTAACCAAAGCTCTTGACATTGCTTTACTTTCAATTTAATAACAATATCAAATTTCAGATTTGCCATAAATGTGTACTGTGGCTTTAAGATGCTTATGGGCAAACCAAAACCTGGTTTCACATGTGATTCTGATACTCTCTGCAGCTCACAGGGCCTTACCACACCTGGGTCAAATATTGTAATCGACTTTGATTTTCAGACTTTCTATAAACAGGGTGGGATTTGTGCAAAAAAAGGATTCTGGTTTTAAATTAATGTGCAAAATTCTCAGCATCACGTTTGTGCTTTCAGTCACAATCCAATCAATCCTAATGATACAAGCAAGACTCAAATCTATCTGTGCATCAACGTCACTATTTAATATGAAATAAGCTAAAAGATTACTGTCAGTCTAAAGAATTGTTAGGCTGAATAAATATTCTGCTGCAGTACAATCCTACGTCTCAAACTTAGACAACAGCCTGCTTTAATGACTGAGTTAGAGCGGCTCTTTTTACACAGGAGTGCACCTACTACTTTCTGTCAGCCTATCATAGCAGCTGCACCACCGCATGTGAGTAACGTCTGCAGGATGTCTCAGACAGCGGCCCCATGCATAGCTGCAGTTCAACAAGATGAACGAACATGCGGTGCTTTTTGGCTCAATGAAAAGCCCGCCCCATGCAGTGAAATTTCTACTTGAAAAGACTGCAAGCACTGAAAGTGAAATCAGCTCCCCATTAGACTGAAGTTTGTGCTGCAGACTGTTTCAAAGTGCAGCGATAAAAATGAGAGGGACGCATAAAATCACACCCTGATTATAAGCAAGAATTTGAATCCAATTCTAGACTTTTTAAACCTATGTTAAGGAACAAGAATAACTCGAGTCCACTAAGACCCAGGTATGCCTCTCTCCACTCCTGCTGATGCAGCGACATGGGGACGGCTGAGCGGGCGGTGAGGACACCGAGTGAGGAAAGGAAAGAAGGAAGGGAGAGACAGGGTTTGAGCTGCAGAGGGTTCAGAAGCATTCAGAAACGTCCCTTAAGCACAAAACATTTGAGCATTACAGATTAAGGTTTAATAGAAACACTTTATTAAGAGTAAAATAGAAATCAAAGCTTTGAAGTGTGCTTAATTGATGTAAAAACAAACTGCTTATTTAAAAAAATTCAAAACGCATGAAAGAAAAGCTAAAATAATCAACATGTCCGTCCTTCGCTATTTGGAAATAAGGGTTAGAAATGGAAGCAGTCAGGATTTGAAATTAATACCAGCAGACAAACAAAACGGCCTCATCTGTCTCTAATTTATTAGAACCGAAGATGAAATCGATCAGAGGGAGAATGTTTGTAATGATTATTGTTAGGATAGAAGCTTATTTGAGCTTGAATAACGTCACAAAGAACGTTAGTTACAGGGTTAAGTATAAATGTACAGGATTCTCCAGCTGCTTGTAAAATCCATGTTTAGCTGCTATATTCACTAGCTTTCCCTTTAAAGCCCGAATCACGAAATAATCGCCAGAAAATTCAAACTTTGTGAAAATGAAGTGTTTAGTGAACTTTGTGAGGGAATTAAACGATGTATAAATTATGAGTTTTAATTCGTATCATATTTGCTACATCATCCTTCAAAGTTAATCGTGCAGTTTATTTCTACATCATCACACTGATGATCTAGAAGACTCAAAAACTGACAAAAACTTGTAAACATGTATCAAATATGATACACTTGACTTTAAAGGGTCAAATTCAAATGAAGCCGTCATCCTTAAGTTTTTCCTCCTAAATTCTCGGAAAAACTAACCAACTGCTATCATGCAGCAAACTTTATCGCAACAGCATAGATATGTTTGGTCAATCGGCTCTTCTGCTGTATTTGCGACGGAGCAGCGGCAGTAGAAGCTAGAAGTAGCTCTAAAATTGATTTCTGCGGTATTAATCTGCAACATATTGTCATCAATCAAGCAGGACTGATAAGGGCTTTGACCAGGAGCCGTCTAATGAAACTTAGTTCCCTGCTAATGCTGTCAATTTCTAATTCATTGGATTTTTAGATTTTTATGACCCAGAGCCACAGTACCTGATTTTTGATTAGAGACATGGGCTTGTTTAAAAATGAAAAAAGCCTCAGTGTCACTAACTCAGTGTCTCTTTTGATCATTTCAGGGCCTTCACTTCATTTTGACCTTATTATAGTAAAAAGATTCTTATTTCCTGTAGCCAAAAGGGCGCAAGGAAGTTAAAAAAATAACATTTTTGGCAAGGAAGACAAAGAAAGAAACAAGATTACAAATGAAGAAATAGTATGTAAAGATGACTGCCGCAAGATCTGGGTGTGAAGAACTATCACTGTCTGAACATTTTGCGTCCTGCAGTAAGATCTTATATTGTTTACTTTTTTATGCACCTACAACCTTTTTTAAGGTAAAAACGTTGTTTCTGCTTGTCTGTTTAACTAAAATACTCAGGTTTCAACTTCTGAAACCACAAAGTTTGATGTTCATGTCTACTCAACTGACTTTGCGTGGTTTTTTTTTTGTAAATTTAACAGATTTCTGCAGAGCACTGATGATATCAGAAGGAGCGGGTCTTCCTCCACCAAAGAAGAAAACCCACAGGAGAGGATGACTGTGACTCGACGGATATATGGGGGGGAAAAATTAAACAAAAGTAAGTAAAGATAAAAGAGAAGAGCAAAGAAATAGAGCGTTACACACAAAGAGCCAAGCAGGGCGTACTCAGAAAGCGCGTCCTCCTGCCGCCAGGCTTGAAGGCCAAACGCTCCGAACCCCAGCTGAACTTTACACAGCCTGAAGAGAGGGAGGAGGGAAAGAAGGGGAGGAGAGAGGAGATGAGGAAAGTACGGAGAAGAGAGAGGTGAAGGGGAGGAGAAATGAGAAGAAAGGAGAGCGATAAAACCGGAGAGAGAAAATTGAGAAAAGACACGATAAGAAGAAGGAAGAGAAGGAAAAGATGAAAAGAGACACGGTTGAAGAATACACAGAAAGGACACTGAGTTAGCCCTCACAGTTTTTTTTCTCTCAACAAAGAACAACAGAAAGAGATGGGAGATCTTGTTGTGAGTGAGTGAAGACAAACCAACAGCATGCATTTGTCTTAATCTGCATGCGAAGCATCCAATAAGCTGTTTGTGTGAACTTTTAATGCTGCGGAGATGCAACGAGGCCCGGGACTCTCAGCGGATGCATACCTGGGGTGGGAGCACACAGGCTGGGCACAGAGAGCGCCGCCTCGCTGGTGTAGGCTGAACACAGGTTGTCACTGGAGGGAGAGGGTTTGAGGGGCTGGAGCAGAGTGCTGCTGTTCGAATCGGCTAATCCTCCTGGGGCTAGCAGAGCCAGCTGGCCGGGGTACATAGTCGGGACGCTCTGGGCGGATAGAGTGCTGCCTGAAGATAGCAGAAGGCATGGGCAAGAGGAAGGAGCAGGCCAGGACCAATCGCAGAAAGCAGAGAGACACGCACAAACACACAAACACAAAGGTAATGGATAGTTAAAGAGACCCATTTACCCAGACATTTACAGAGACACGCCCCCACACACAACCACACAGAGAAAAACAGACGGAGAAAGCAGTCAGAAATGTTCAAGCTCCGAGCCTGATCCCACGTGCAGGTGTACACAAGCAGATAAACACACATACATACATGTGCACATGGATGCATAAACACAGAGAGGATGCAATGTTAGCGAAAGGTTTTTGAACCGTCCTGGCTGTAGTGGGCTTAGGGTTCAAGATTAAGGTCGTTCAGTGTCAGTTCAACCAAATTAGAAGACCACCTTTTCATGCTCTGGTAGTGTCAGTATTTTCAAGTTTGCCTATTTTGTTAATAGAAACTAACTATTTTCACATGTGTGTGGGAAGGAAATCGTTTTTTGAATGAACTGAGCCTTTACATGTGTTCATCTTTTCACCAAAGCCTACCTGGCTGTAATGGACTCTTGCTGCTGGTTCTGGACGATTTCGATGACTTGCTTTTGGTGGGCCGTCTCCTCCTGCCAGTCAAGGTCAAAACAGGAGGGATCGCTGAAGGCGGAGGAACCTACAACGCCAAAAGGAAGAATTCTCACATTCCGTTTTTTTGTGATGCTGCCTTAATTGCAGTTTTTTTGTTTTTTACTCGCTGGATACCTTTCCCAGCCTGGTGAACAGACGGTCTATTTCCTCCTTCTGGCGGGATTGAAGTTCCTGAATCTCACGCATGTGCCTGGTGGGTGAAAAGTAAAATAAGATATATAGAAGTAACAAGAATGGAATCATTCTTGGAAGGAAAAGGAGGAGAAGAAAAGCGCACGAGAAGGAGAGAAAAATCAAGTTTTTCAAAGCCATTAACCTTACTAAAGAAGCAAAGGTGGACAATGAAACAAAGAATGGACGTGTGAATCTATTTTCCACTTTAAGAAAATGAGAAAGGGATAACTCACTTCTCTCTGAGGCGAGTGACTTCCCGTTTGAAGTCCTCATCCTCAAATTCCGAGTCATTGTCACTGCTGATGTAGGAGTTATTGAAGGAGTTGTTTAGACTCGGCAGAGAGGCTTTATGGGTAGAATCTGGGGTCAAAACTTGGCCAGGATCGCTGGGTCCATTAGCAGCTTTGGCAGCAGGTGGAGGACTCTCCTCCTCAGCACGACTGACTGAGAATCTACCAACGCGGGCCTCGGGTTTAGGAGTAACCTAAAAAATTGAAAATATGAACAAAACAACAAGAGGAGGGGAGAGAATTAAAACTGGAAAAAGGGACAAAAGACGAAAAGGAAAGGAGGCGGCAGAGAAAATAAAGTGAACGATTACCTGAAAGCGTCCTATGGTGGTGGTGGGCGGTTTGGGGGAGGGGCAAGGGGATGTTAGAGGGGAGGGGTGGTGGGATCCAACGGGAGTCTTGTGAGGGGGCCCGTCCACCACGTCTCCTGTTTTTCCTGCTCCTTCCGCTTTCAGAGGCAACGAGGAGTTTTTGTGCAATGTGTTCTCTGGGCTCGAGAGAGTAGAGGATGATGAAGAAGATGAAGTGGAGGAGGTGGTGGAGGAAGACTCGGTGCAGGCCGGTCGCTGGACAGCGGGCTCTTCGATAGCCCGTGAGACCTAAGCATCGAAGAGAAACGTGGAAGAAGGCTATGAGACACAGAAACACTTGGATCCTACTTGTCAGTTGGGATCCAGTGTATATTCATTATGCTAGTCTTACATGCAGACGGTATTCATGTGCGGTGTCTCGTGTTGAAGATCTTTTACCTTAAATCGTCCTAATTGAGTTTGAGGGGGATGAACAGGAGAGGACAAAGTTTCTTCCTCCACTGGAAAAGGAACTGAGGAACATATGATGGATACTTTAGAAATCACACAGATACAAAAATATAACATTAGGATTTGGGTATAATCGAACATACCTGGTTGTCCAACTGAAGCCACACTAATGTGGGAGGCCTGACCGCCCACAGAAACAGTCTCTGGACTCAACGCTCTCCTTAACTGGGCATCCAAGTCCTCCAGAGGCTGCTGAGACTGAAGAGGTGGGCAGATAAACTGTTAGACCATGCAAGAACAAAAACCGTGCAAAAAGAGGCAGGCTTGGCCACGCAGGTTTTACTAATAGCTGTTGATTAGCAACATAAGCACAGATCAGCCAACTGAATCAAACATTTCAGTTGATTTTAAGATTTTATGGATTAAAGCAACACCAAACTCCAAGCTCAGCTAAACTGATTAATTGTTTAATGCTGCTCCGCTGTGAGTTAGACTGCAGTCTTAGACCTGCAGGCAGGTTCTTGCTGAGTATCTGGTTCGCATTTGGCTTCCTTCTATTTTGCAGCTCGCTGCCTGGAAAACTAAGAATTGCATAATCAAGGCCATCTTTGTAATCACCGTTCATGTATGCACAATCTTGGACTTTTTTTCCAGTGCAATTATGTTTTTTAGTCTTTATTTTCTGCTTTTATGGTAATTTTGTTTTCAGGGATGGAATATTTGTTTTATATAGGTAAGCTGGTATTCTAATAGTAAAAGGAGACTGTTGTTTCTATCAGCAGCAATTCATATTTCCAAGCAAAGCTCAACTCTGGGACCTTGCTGCTTCTTTGCACTCATACACGGAAAGTTGGACATGACGAGAGCACCAGCAAAACCTCCCATATGGAACAGACAACAGATACGGCACACTGATTAAGTCAGACACAACATTAAAAAGGGCAGGTTTGCTGGAGAGGGTTTGCAGCGGTTTGCAGATTTACTACAACCTTTGGAAGGCTGAAGCAGTTTATATGGTGCAGCCTGTATAAACTGCTTGCCAATGATGTTACTGATGTGTAGCTGAGTCAGCTGAGCCATCGTCTGGTATGCAATGAGCTGGATCGCCCTTGTGTGTGATCTCATAGCCCACCTGAATATACACCATGCTCCATTCTCTTTGTCAAGGATTTTGTAACACTGTTTTATAGGGTGCAATATCATTGAAGTTTATTTTTAAAAAATCCTCTAGTCTAAATGAACGTTTCCAAGCAAACTGTAATTAAAATACTTCCAGTTATACCATCTGACTAAAAATGCAAACTAACCTCTGGTCCAACTGGATGCTTTAACCATCCTCAAAACTTGGCAAAGCATACAAATTAGGACCAGTTAAAGTCTAAAATTTGTCATTTTTAACACCGTTCCTCACCAAAAAAAAAAAAAAATCAGATTTCTCTCCTTCGCCAATGAACAATGTGATCCAGAAGCTGCCCAAAGCCATTCATTCTCGAGCAATTAAACTACAATCACAAAGTAAAGAATTAAAAAGAAATCCCAAGTGAACTTCAACGACAGCAGGATTATCTTAATCAAACGAGACATGTCTCATCCAGGAGACTTACATAAGGGACGGGATGTTGTATCCGGGCAGATCAGATTGTTTTAGATGTCACATCTCTCTATTTATTCAATGTGCTTGTCTGGTTGAAAGGAAAGTCTATTTTTAAACTGAAGCATTCACGGTCTGGCAACTGAAATCAGTTCATTATCTGTCTGTCCTGAAGTCATTGGTGCTCAAACTGCTCACTGCTGCATTTGTCTGGCAAACTGTTTTAATCTGTTTGGTCATTCTCTTTGACCAGTGCTCCATGTGCTTCCCAGTCTTTATCTTAAAAGTCCACAGAGACTTTTTCGTCTTCTTCTTTCAGCAGCTCCCATTATGGATCGCCTGGCATCCACTTTAGTCACACCAACTCTCTTTGTGTCCTCTGTCCTCTCTCCCTACATTCATTTCCACCTTTTCCACCCTGCCTGCGCTCTTTTATTTCCCTCTGTTGTGCACTGTTTATTCTTCTGGATGGTTGACCCCATGTATTAAACACATACTCCTTGCAACTTCACCTTCCCACCTGTTTCCCTCTCATTCACACACACGTCTTCTGTCTCGTTTGTATTGATATTCACTCTTTTTCTCTCCAGCACATTCCTCCGCCTCCTCAGGCTCTTATCTACCTGCTCCCTACTTTCACAAAAGATCATCTCATCATCATCTGCGAACATCGTAGTCCACAGAGACTCCTGCCTTATCTCATTTGTCAACCAACCCACCTGACACTGCATTTATGTGCTTTTGACTTCTATTTAAAGTAACACTGAAGTTAAATTACTCAATTGTTTAATGTAATTATTTCATTAGATTTCTTCTTTTTTTAAGTTTTACTGTCCTTGTAGGCTTTGTATCAGATGTATCATCTCTGCAGCTTTTTTATTTTGGGCCTTTAAGTGTCTCATCTTAGAGTTTTTCAAGATTGGCTGTAATAACGCTGCTGTTTCAGAGAGATGAATAATTTTAGCAGAAAAAAAGCAGAAGCAGAAGCACAACTTATGCACAGCACAAATTAAATCCGATGAAGCTATTGCAAAAAGACATTACAAACACACTGAGCAGTCTATAAACAGTGTTGCGCTGTTTCAGACACATCGGTCTTAAAAAATGATCCAAAAAAGAACACCTGTATTACACAAGGTCCAGGGAAGGGTGGCGGGAGTTCTGAAGGAGGAGAACTGGCCTAATCCCGGAGAAAGAGAAGTGATGAAAGCACAGGAGTGGGAGAAATGAGAAAGACAAGAGAAGAGATTTGTAGAGGAGATAACAAGAATAGTGTTTATGGTTAAGAATGTTACAAGGAATTTCCATGCCAGATGAGTTTTAAGGAAATTGGGGAGAAAAACTGTGGAAGACATACGAGGTGCGATCAAAAAAGATTTTGGTATTTCATTGATCGCAACTTGTGCAAATCTCCCAAAACTACATTATTTGTGACTTCCAAACAATTAAAAAAAATATGTAGTTAAAATTAGCTAACATGCACATGCTGTCTGACCACACGACACTTCATACTACAAAAAATTATTGAACTACATCTCAAAAAACCTTTAGTTTTAGAAAAAGTTTAGAATTATACAACTCACCGGTACTCTGGATAAGGGCGTTTTGGATGGAGTGGTCTGGCCTAATGAGACAGGGATGACTATAGAAAATGCAGAAAGCAACATTAAATAAAAAGAAGAGAAGATTTACCACCACTAAATAAAAAAGATTAAAATATTCCTACTAGACTGTGCAGGGGTGAAGACAGGCGTCCCAGGGCCCTGGATTGGAGCAGGGGATCCCAGTGATCCCAGCGCCAGGCTGGAAGGGGGTTGAGGAGGAATGGCTGACTCTCTGGAGCCAGATGCTGTGACAGACGTGGTGGAGGTGGAGCAAGGTCCTACTGGTGACGAGGTACCTGCCACAGCAGCCAGATCAGCAGCTACGATGTCTCCCTGGGTGGAAGGCACCCCGCCTCCGAGGTCCATGAAGAGAGAGCGCAGCTTCATTTCCAGAGCTTGGATGTCGTCTGGTTTGCACTGCGACTCAGAGGAGTGCTCACATCTGAAGGAGATCGGTGACAACAAGTCTCAGAAATAATCAGTATTTATGGGTTAATAAGTTAATAAGTAAGTAAGAATTCAAGAACTTTTCCACACAAAATATAGTCTAAAATTGACCGTGTGTGTGTGTGTGTGTGTGTGTGTGTGTGTGTGTGTGTGTATATATATATATATATATAGTAAACTAACTTTATTTTTTGCCTTGTTAAGCGACTGACTGCTTAAAGCAGTTCACAAATAGAAATAAATACACAGTGACCACCTCTCACCTGGGCTCGCAGTCATTGTGGGCGTGCGTCTGCCCAGGCAGGGCTGCTGTCTGAGGCTGAGAGTGCACCAAAGTTGGTTGGACTGTGGGGACATTTGTGGTCACCGGCAGAAGTCCTCCAGCGGACGATGAGGGAGTAGGAGCAGGGAGGGAGACAACAGAGGGCGCGAGCTGGGGACCTAGGATGGCAGTGGTGGGGATGACTGAGGAGGTCAGGGAAGGAGTTGGCAAGACTGATGAATGATCAGAGGAGACTTCACTGGCTATAAGAGATGAAGAGGGCGGGGAGGACACAAAAGGAATAGTGTGGGCTAGAGGAGGGGAGGTGAGCATTTGAGGGGGAACCACTGTTGGTAAAGTGGAAGGTACTGAAGCAGCACTGACAGAAGAAACTGTCTGGGACTGAGGGTGGCTGAAAGCCTGGGGCTGAGGCTGTGCTTGTACCTGTGTCTGGGGTTGTGAGACAGCCTGAGTTACTGGCTGTGGAAGTACCTGTGATTGAAGGATGCTTTGATTCACTGTTGTAGGGGGAGGAGAAGAGGAACAGGGAGGACTGAGATGGATGGCGGAAGGGGTCGAGGATACAGAAAGAGGAGGAAGAGAGGCATCCTGTGTTGTGTTTAAATTAGAAGGGACATGCCCAGCAGCGGCATCCACAGTGGGAGTGAGTGTGCTACTCTGTGAAGGGACAGAAGCTGCTGCAGGCTCCAGAAGTGGAGGATGGGTGGAGTGGATGGAGGGTGGGGCAGTGTTGGGCCCTGAATCAAGCTGATTTTGGTTCTGTCGGAGTTCAGAGAATGCTTGGTGTAAGCTGACTGCTCCTGTAGAATGGGACAAGCCCAAACCTTGACCTGGAGTCTGTGATGGAGGTGGAGAAACTGGAAGAGAAAAAGGAAACTATTTTAAGCCACCACATGATTATATGTAATTCCTAGCTCCACCCAGATTACACCGATTTATAGGTCACTGTAACCAAATTATTTAGAACACCCTACATAGTGTGCAGAGCCATTAAATTTGAAATTTCAGCCAGTGTACCACATACATAGTAAGCTATATTACACCTTATCAATTAAGAATCATGTTAAAAACATATCTAAAATCAACAAATTTGGGCAATTTTGGGCAAATTAGATCAGCACTGTCAGAAAATACAGTTAGAATGTTTCTGTTTCTTTTATTCAACTTCATGTGAATTCATGTGATAGAATGACAATTAAGGCCACTCAGGCAACACACGATCTCTACAGGTAATGCACACAATCCTTACCCGTCTCAACATGAGGCACAAGAGAAGGAGAGGTGGGAAGCATTTGTTCCTTCAGCCTCGCCTCGGGTACAAGGCTGACGATAAATCTCCGACCTGCCGAGTGGACCACTTGTGCAGATGGACTGGGTGGGATGCCTAAAAAAGGCAGAAGAGTGAGACACGGCCTGGATATGTTATGACATGTTCTGTTGCAGGTTTTCAGGCTAAAAAAAAAAGGTTTTTACAAAAGTGTATTTATTGATTTCCATTCAGAAGATCTGAAGGTCCTTGCCGCTCAATAAACCTGGTCTCGGATTTATTTTATTTTAAGGCTTTTTCTTTCGTCTTTTTTTTTTTTTTACCTTGCATGGGGGCAGATATTGCAGGATTCTGCTGTTGCGTGTCACCTGCCATCTGCAGATCGACAAGAGAGCATGCATTAAACAATGACAGTTGGTCTGTTAGAGGCAAAGGTAGAGATGACCAGTAAGTTTAGACACACCATAGACAGGCTATAAAAATTCAATAGCAGACTCACTGTTTTCTTTGTCTGGCTGTTGGCATCTCTTTCCAGACCCTTCTCATCAGCGTTCTCTATCACCTCTCTGACCTGTTCAATAAATGACTCTCTCTCGCTCTCCAGGATAAACTCACTCTCGACCTGCATGCACGTTGAAAAGGTCACGCTTAGTCACACGCTTATGAATTTGCAATATAATCAGTCACAAACAGCAATATTTCTTTATATAAGCCTTCTTCCTACATGAGTGTGAGGTAACATACGAGTAGTTTTGCCTTGTGTGAGAGTCTGATGAGAACTCTCCATGAAAGTGCAAGGACTAGAGCATGTACTTCAGTGGTTTTGGATGAGGCAGAGCAGATAGCAGGCGCGCCGGCACGTAAAAACAATCCAGCCTTAATACAGAGCTATTAATAGGGATTTACAGACAGTATAACGTGAAGGTTGGATGGCTGAAGCTGACGAGCCAACATTCGCTCATATTAAAAGCAGTAACTGGTCAGCTGTGAGGAAATATTGTTTAATATCCACTCTGGTAACTGTGTGCTGTTGAAACAGACAATTCCACTGACGGGTCATACAAAGTACTATAGTCATTTTTAATTAGATTGCAACGTCAGAATTAAATTTATTTAATTAAAAAAAGCTAATGACAAACTTGCTCTCCACGTGGGCTGTTTACATGCACGCAGTCTGCTCAAAAGTAATTGGTTAACAGAACTTAGACTATACGAAATCCTTCAGAACTCAATTCATATACAGAATTTTAGAACAACTATAATTTGGAGCAAGTGGAAATGAATCAAAAACAGTGGATGTGAGTCGTTGTGTGATATTGTGTGCACCATGATCTGGGCAATTTCCTCAGGGTTGTCTCCATCCAAGTCAAACCTAAAGGTCACCATCTTCCTGTTGTGGGTCTCCAGCTGACACTCCGCTACCCTGTCTCCAAGGTTGGAGATCTACATGCAAGCACATCAAGAAATACATACACAGAAAGAAAAGATAATGAATGGAAATAAATAACTTTACTGTAAGTGACACATTTCTAACAACCATTAAATAGATACTTGGTGCAGTAGAAAACAGGGCCTGTTTTTAATTTTGACCTCACAGGACTTATCAGGTGTGCGCAATTACATTGAGAACATTGAGTTTCGCCTTGGTCGTCTTCTCATGGTGTGATCGACTTCGCACAGAACGTCTCTGGTGTCGCTTGGCCGAGCGCCCTTCATGACGACCTCCTCCTCCCTCGTTGCCGTCGCTCAAACCTGAAGTCTCAGAATGGCCACTGAGGTACAACATAAGCAAAACACAGTAAGAGAGAAAGACCTAAAAAGAGCACTGAGTGAGAGAAAGATGTCACAAAGCTTAAATGTCATTCAGAGAAATTGCCTTGATTTCAGGGAAGAGTAACTGTGTGTGTTTGTGTGTGTGTGTGTGTGTACGTGCAAGTATTACCTCTCTATGAATGAGAGAACTTGAGGCGGCTGTAGCTGGGACTGAGGTAACTCTGAAGATTGTGAGGCAGGCTGAAACACACACATACACACAGATATATGCATGAAACTACGCATGACACACACGGGTGTGGTGTCACCACAAACATCAGGAACACTGAAGGGAAGGAAAAATAGCAGGAAGTTATAACAATTAATGCGGGTGTAAAAACAGAAGCAAATGCTAGCTAGATTATAAGAAAAGTAATTTTCAGAAGTTCAAGTAAATCCTGAGAATGTCAAAAACAGAATATGGAACAAGGATGGAATAAACCGTATCCTTTAAATTAGAACTTTATTCAAACTTGTAAAAAACCAAGTCCACACTTACACCTTTCAAAGAAATGATGAGGTTAAGTAGCAGCCAGGTGCTGCTAATCAAAGGGACTTGATGAACTGATCATCAGCCAGTGTTCATCTGGAGCATTCAGGTGTCCCACTACCTCCACCCTCCCACCCCCAAGAACAGCCCGTGCAACGCTCAGAGAAACTGTGAATTACCCAACCCACATCTCAGACTCTACGGGCCTCAGTTAGCATGTTAAATTCTAAAGTTCATGACAGTACAACTAGAAAGTGACCGAGTATGGAGTACACAGTCTCTTCTCTTTAAAAAGAACATGGTAGCACAGCTTAGGTTTTCAAAGCCACATTTGAACAAACCACAAGACGTGTGGAGCAATGTTCATGGACAGCCAAGAGCAAAGTAGTGATGTTTGACCATAATTCACAGCACCACGTATAGAGAAAAGCAAACACAGCATATCAACTGTCAAGCACGGCAGTGGAGACGTGACGATTTTGCACACCATAAACTCCTTTGTGTACCAAAGTTGCTAAAGTCAAATCTGAGACCATCTGTCCCACACCTAAAGCTCGGCCAAAGTTGTATCATACAACAAGACAATGATGTCACAGCAAATCAGCAATTCAGAGTAGCTGAGAAAGAATCAAGCTGCTGCAATGACCCATTCAAAGTCCAGACCCCAGCCTGACTGAGATGCTGTGGCAGGACTTTAAGAAAGCTGTGCATAAACAAACGCCTGAAAACCTCAATGAACCGAACCAATATGAACCAAGAAGAGTTACTGATCAGTTCCACAGGACATTATATTTAGTTATTTTTATTTTTAAACTAATCAAAAAATTTGGTTTTGCAGGTTCAACATGTTTTTTCTATTTTTTTAACTCACTCCACCAACAAGACACGTAAGTTTTTCCAGCAATTATTAACTGACTGTATATTGTTACACTTAAACCCACAAAAGGCAATTAAACAACACAAAACTGTAGCTGTGCATTTCCATTTCTTACTCGCAAAACTTTAACAAACAGAATTATCATATAACAATACTCCAGGATGTGCATTTCAGATTAAAAAACAAGAACTTCGTAACATCTTTGTGAGGTCCTATCAGTAGAAAGTGTGATGGTGGTTAAAAAAACTTCATGCATGAGTTCCAAGATTTTGAAAATTTGGGAAAATTCTCATTTCATTCACTTTTGGTGGGTTCGACCATCTATAACCAGTACCTGAGGGGGGGCTTCCATGGGGGTATCAGGCGGGGCGCTGACTACACTGATGATTGGCACCACCGTGGCCAAAGCCTGAGGCACAGATGTGGGTGCGGGAGTAGGAGGAGGAGGGGAAACAATAGTAGGCACCACCCCAACAGGGACTGGCAGAGGAGAGGGAGGGGGAGCCACGGCCGCGCTCGGCATTGTGATGGCAATAGACAGCAACGGAGAAGGAAGGGTCACCAAAGGAACGGTAGAGGTAGGTGGAGTTACACCAGGCTGAGAAGGAAGGAGGAACAGAGGGAAAGAGAAAAGAAAGGAGAAAAGAGAAGGAAGAAGATAAGGAAGAGGAGATGAGAAAAGGACGGGAGCAAAGTCATGGGGGGATAAGGAAGTAGAAAAACCCAGCCAGGGATCAGACATGACAAGCATGGACAGACTGAATCTGGGTCTTTACTGGTCTCCATGATAAATCATGTTAAAATAAAGACGCCAAAGGGGCGAGTCATCCACAGTTCCAACACATTACTGACATGTTTCACACCCTTAACAAAAACTTAACCAAGCAAGACAACAGGACCGTACATCAAGCCTGTTAGTAAGGACATACCAAGCTCTGAAACCAAACAACACACACTGTGTGACAGAACAGCTGGGTGATACACACACCACTGGAAGACCATGCAACAACAGAGCAAACCCTACAGACAACGTGCAATACGGCTTTACAATGTAGATGGGCAACACTCTCAACACCACATCACAAATGGGAAAAGAAGGCTAAAAACCTTCAAGAGTCAAGATATGGAAACACTGTAAACGAAAACAGCTTTCTATTTTTAGTCTTCAAGATCCAACGTCCTGAATAAATATTATTACCTACTGCTTGGTGTCGTGTGTTATAAAAGAAATACATACAGTAACAATAAAAACTGCATGTTTGCAGAAATGGTGAAAAGAAAACTTAACAGCTAAAGAAACAAAACCGAAAATATTGCTTAATATTTGAATCATCGGCTGTCTTTTACTCAAAGATTCAATCTACACGTTTAGAAAAACACATTTTTAATCGTTTACAGCAAGGCAAAGATACTACATTCATTTTTATATACAAAAAAATATCAATCAAGTTGGTTAATGGTGTGTTTAAGTGGCCAATCTCACTGTTTGAAACAATGAAAATTATACTAAAAGGTTTAAAAATTAAAAAAATGCAAGTCATGAAATCATTACTGTAAAACTAAAAGACTAAAATATCCGTGCAATGAAATTTAAATTCCATATTTTGTCTTTAAATCAGACGTGACGTGTTACTCTTTATAATTCTTTAATATATAATTTGTTAGATAGTGAATCAATTTTTGTAGTTTTGCACAGATCCACAGTTAAAATCAAATAATCGAAATGTAATTCAAGTGCAGACTTTCTGCTTTATCCAAGGGGTTAAATACTGCATTAATTGTGTAGTAATTATAACCACTTTATACACCGTCCCTGATGTCCAGAGGCTAAAAATAACCAGACGATTGACTGACAAACAGTTTGATGGCCAGGAGAGACCTGTTTCATTATCATGATAAATAAAGGAGACATAATATCTGGAGTGGATACAGCATCCCAAAAAGATGTCAGTGTAAATGAAGGAAGAAATAAAGACTAGTAGAGGCTCAAAAGCTCAAATAAACCTTTCAGAGAGACAAAACTTTACCATCCTGTGCATTCTGTAAAAAAATAAATGCACTGATGACCTCAGTAACACCAAAAGGCCTGAAGGTGCATGATGACAGAGTTTATGATCCTTAAAAAAAAAACACACTCACAAAGTGCCGGACGAATCAGGTCTACAATCAGGTGGTTGCTTCATGAATGGAAACACAAAGGCTTCAGACAGTTGCAAACCACTGATTTCACCTCAAGAACAAAAAGGCCTGATAAGGACTTTGGCAGAAAACATCTCAAAGAGTCTTCACAGTTGTGGAAAAGAAAATCTTCGGACAGATGAGCTCAATATAACTTGTACTAAAACGATGCCCATGGGCTCTAGTGTTAAGGTCATCGACTTCAAAGACAATCAATTCTAATATTTAAAATTATGTCCGTTTGTCCAATTACTTTTGAGCATCTGAAAATCAGGGCTTGTGTATAAAAATAGCTAAAATTCCTAAACAGTTAATGCAAAATTGTTGTTAAACCCCTTAAATCAAAGCTAAAAGTCTGCACTTCAATCACGTGTCGACTGCTTTACTTAAAACGCACTGCAGTGGAGTACAGAGAAAAAAAACAAAAAACACTCTTTTTCCCAACAAAATATTGACTTAGCCTTAATACCAAACTAAATACTGGACTATTACTGGAAATACTGCCCATCTCCATTTCCGTGCTCATGTGTTTGTTGTCCATGCTTTTACTAAGGTGGTCAGTGAGAGCATGTGGGGTAAACAAAGATGCACTGTCAGGAGAATACACAGCTTTACTCAAAAGGTCTATGTTCTGTTCAAAGGATTCAGTTAATACATCACAGTTTCACGTGAGGACAGAGACAAACAGGCACAGCCACTTACAGTACAACAAACTACAGTGTCAATTACGACGATACCTGAGACAGAGCTAGCTGAGCAACTTGGTACAGAAGATAAAGGTGCTCTAAACTGGGGGATGGACTTAAGTCACAAAACTAAACACGCAACCACACGGGGTACCATACAAACACAATGATATACAAGTGGATACGTAAAAACACGTAAAAACAAACCCGGTGGTAAACACAGGCAGCATGCCCACGAGCAAGCCAGAAAATGGAAAGAAAAACAGAAGAAAAGTGAAGAAAGCAGAACATGCAACAAGACAAAATAACTCAAAAAAAGCAGGTGTAATGCCTAACTACATATCCACAGATGCGTATGTGCATTTGTCTCTGGGTATTCGGGTACAGAAGTGAGGAAATACTAATGGCAACTTGTACTCTAGCCCTGAGGTGAAATAACAGAGACTGTTATGAATTGTGTGAATTGTGAATGAATTGCGTTTAGCAGATTTGTTTCAGATTAGAATTTTAAATGTGGGCGAGCAGTTGCATTATATGCATAAGTGTGTAAATGACTAAAGATAAATGCAGATATACGAGCCATCAGGCACCTTTAAAAAGACCTATCACCACCCACATGTACAATTAGGAACACTTCAATCTAAGCCAATCCAGTATGCCATAATAACCCACAATCACTTTACTGTTAAAAAGTTAAACTATCAACTTTCTAGAAATGTCAACAAAAATAAAAACTTAAAATTTACATTTATGGAAATGCTGCTTTAGTGGATTGGGTTAGGTTACACAGTGTTAATATATAAATGAATGTATATTTAAATACTCAATCTAGAATAGCATCTCTTTGAAAAGAAAGAGTCCTAGCTAAAAACACATATAGATATATATTTAACAAATACAACTATAACTGTACCTGTGCAGGTGACTGTGGCAGAGGTGTGTGTGTGGGGCTTTGAAGTGATGTGCTACTCTGGCTAGATGAGGCAACCTGGAGAGGGACAAACAGAGAAACGTGGGTGAGAGAAAACGGTGTAGATCAGGGGTGTCCAACTCCAGTCCTCGAGAGCTACTGTCCTGCAGCTTCTAGATGCATCCGTGTCTCGACACACCTGAATCAAATCAATGGCTTGTTACCAGGCCTTTGCCAAACTTGATGGCATGCTGAAGAGGTAATCCAATTTGATTCAGCTGTGTTGGAGTGGGGATGCATCTAAAATCTGCAGGACAGTAGCTCTCGAGGACTGGAGTTGGACACCCCTGCTGTAGATATTTACATAAACAAAGATACTCTTTATGTGTTTGACACTGAACAAAATGATTAATTTAGCAAACTGCCAAAAGATAATATGGCTGCATTCTGACAAAATAAGTGTTACAATAAAAGTTTAAATGTGACCAAATTATAAAGGGTCATAATATAAATGTTATAATTGACTATAATTTATTGCTCAATCAAAGTTCAGTTCTTTGGACCCCACAGCGTACTGATTAACACATTGAAATTACTCCTGTAGTTGGGAGTAGTCCACTTTGAGCTACATTTGAGCCAACACAAAGAGCTGTGAGCAAGGCTTCACCTCCTCTAACTGACCTCACTAAACTGGGCCTCTTAACTGAGGCCCTGAGAGTTTTGCAGGTTGCCGCTCCAAATAAAGCTTGAGGTGATAAATTTCCGCCTTTCTTTTCAAATCTAACTCCCAATAACTGATATGTAGGTGGCCAAAACACTGAGACTTGAAAATAATGCTAAAAACCATTGCCTACCTGTTGGGCAGTCCCAGAAAGTGGTGGCTGTGTGCTGGCAGGGACCAAAGCAGGTCCTGAAGTTGGCTGAGGGGAGGACACCTGAGTCTGCTGTTAAGAGTCAGATTTAGAGAAAGAAAGACAGAAAAATGGAAAGACAGGACCAGATGCAACGTCGTAGGACAAAACAATGGAGGATGGAGGAGAGAAATTGAGAGAGATTATGGACAAGAGAGAGTAAAAGAGAGAAAAAGACAATTAGAACATGTTTGTAGCTTTTGGATCCAACAGTATGCATGAGTACAAACACAAGGCAGTTCTGCTCTTCTCTAGCAATCATTTTTAATCTAGATCTTCCTCTTGTGTATGCACACATGCACACAGACACGTATACTCTAATCCGACGACAGATATATGCACACTGATATCTAATGTATGCATATACGCAGCTTGTAGTATAGCATGTACAACAGTATGGGCACGGCACTGGGGTTAGGCAGGGTGTAAGTAGGATTTATTTATCATGCAGGTCAGGACCTAAGTCATTAACAGTGATGATAAAAAGGTGTTATATAGCCAACAGAGCACAGAGTAAAAATTGGAATACTCTCTATGAATTAACTAAGATGTTTTAAAACACTTGCTGCTTTTTCAGATTTCATCCTAACACCACATGTCCTGTCATGGCCCTACCTCTGACTCTGACAGAAAGTCTGATTCACTTGAAATGATGCAGGCTTTCTTTTGAGTCAACTTATCATTTCAATTGTATATTTGATTTTCAATCCTTTAAATTTCACGATGGTCATCACCCTGACAGGCTCCTGTGTTCACTCAATGAATTCTTCAAATACTCTACAGTAGCACAGAGATGACTACAACCAATCCACTGATGACTGAACCCTTAGAAGGCCGGAAGCAACTGTATACTTGTCGTGAAGCTCGTCCTGAGAAAGTATGGGGAAAGCTTACGCAAGTATGGTACGTTGCACCAGACGTACGACTACCTAGCTTTCTCTAACATTACAGGGAGTAACACAAACACATAAGAGGTTGCACATACGCGATATTTAATAAATAACGTTGCTAAAAAGATCAAGAACTTAATATAAATGAGATGGAAAAAAAGAGCTACTGATGAACGATGAAAATGAATAAAGGAAAGATAGTAAACAAGAATGTCAGCGTTCTAAGGGTTTAAAGAATTTCAGCTGTGACCTTTGAACCCTGTGTAGGAAGTTGATTTTCATTGTGGGCAGGAAATGATTACATAATATGTTAAATTAAAGAACTGGCTCGAAGCCAAGCTCTTTAGCATTTACAACACAAATTGTGAAACACACAGATGAACGTCTCTCTGCATGGTTACATTGCTATTTTGTCTAAGCCTCCTTTAGTTTTGTTGTATGTTTCTGTGTGTTTAAGCATACAAATCAGCAAAGTCTTACAGCTTTATGTGAATTCAGACGTTGCGTTAAATGTCATAAAATGATATCAAATGCGCGCACGTCGACGTCTTAAAGATGCTTTTTTTTTAATGTACATCTAGATTATTCATCTTAACCATTAACCTTTAAACTCCAGATCAAACTGACTTTGGATTTGTATGGGCTAAAATTCAAGTATACTGTAGACACAGTATACCAGCACAAACACACATTTCTCATATACTTTCATATATGAACATACAGACAAAATATTACTTACTGATAACACCATAAATTCACAACATAAACACAGAGAAGAAGGGAGCTTAGACTCGGCTCATAAAGCTTTTACACCACAGAGTGTCCCAAAGAGTCTTACTTTCAACGTAATTATCCATTTACTAAAAATAATGCCTCAAATGTTAAACTTAAAATTAAATGGTTCTGGTTTCATGTTTTTAACTAAAATATTTGAAAGAATCACCCCTTTTCCTTTAATGCTGTTGAAGAATGAAGAAACTACAAAGGCAGACTCTCTGTGGTGCTTGCACGACAGAAAAGGGGGGATTAAATCACAAAGACTACAAGATAACATAAAGAAAAAAAATACTATAAATAAAATATGGAGGAAAAAAAACAACAGGGATTGGTGTAACAGACTCTGGGTCAGATTACCAATAAAATTCAATTTCCTTTGCTACATTGCACAACATTGTTCCAATTATTTACTGGCTACGGGGTCCAAGAACAAGACTGTTAGAAGGATAATATATATAAAAAAAAAAAAACTGTCAATCTGTGAGCTGTTAATAATTTATAATCAAAAGCAGAAAATACCATAATTTAGGAATTACATTTTAACCACCAGTCAAAACATTCTATGTAAAATTTTGGTATAAATTTCAAAATCTAAACTAGTAACTGACCCAGAGGTCTAGGTGTGGTTTCTAGTTCTAAACATTGTACCAGAGGAGGGTTAGCGGCCTGCATGGCCAGCAGTGACTCGTGGTATGTCATATCAGGTTGAGCTGGCACCATTCCCCCGTGCCGGGCCCAGGAGCTCTGGATCAGAGACTCCAGCTGATTTGATGACGACCCCCCAAGCGGGAGCTCGGACGATGGTGTGGTGGGCAGAAAGTTCTGCACTGAAGGCGGATGCCCCTGGGGATCTGCGTGAAGAACTCCCCCTGGTGAATCGTAAGGCGCAGTGGAGGACGAGCGAGGGATGGACTGAGCAGCTGAGAACTCGAAGGAAGGAGGAAGAGGTGGCGGAGGTGGTGACTGGAACTCTCCTGCATCAGAGGAGGTCAGAGAGTCGCTAGAAGGATCGGGACTTCTGTCTTTTACAGTCAAACCTGCGTGGTGAAGGAGGAGACTTCCCGGAGGTAAAGGGAGCTCCGGACTCACGTAAGAGTACAGCTCTTCTGTCACTGGCTGCAGACGACTATATGTGCCGGAGCCACTGGATCCCGTCCCAGGGCTGTCCTCTAGAGGGAGATCCATAGAACTCCGTCTGGCCCGGTAAAGTCTGGATGCCAGGAGGCTTGGATCTCCAGCAGCGGCTGCAGCTGCAGCGGCTGCAGCTAAATGAAACTCAAAAACACTTCCGGTAGGTGGCGGGGCGTCGGCCATTACTGGAGGTGCAGAAATAGGAAAGGAGGATGAGGAAGCATGCTGTGGAGCATAGCATCCCTCGGATGATGAAGAAGACATAGAGCCAACCGTGGATGCACTCATGGGGGGTAAGGGTGGCGGTATTGGACTGTGTGCACTCATTCTTTGCAGGATATGAGGATGTAAGAACCCTGCTTGAGATGGAGGACCAGGATCAAAACCCAAACCAGCAGCTGCAGCTGCTGCCTGCCTCTGCTGATGGAAAAGCTGGTGTGCAGTCATTGGGTAGCCTCCATATGCCATTGCTTCATAATGGTCCAATAAGGCTGCTTGATTTAGATTGAGTCTCCTCACTGCTTCCTCGTGCTCTGCTCTCATGTCTTTGAACCCATAAAAACTTGGATCAGATTGTCCTGGGAGATGGAGGGGTTCCCCAACACCAAGTCTTTGAGCAGCTGCTGCAAAACCAGGATTAACCATGAAGAGAGAAGGAGCCTCAACGCCCTCCATGCCAGAAAAAGGGTGGAGGCTGCTCCCGTAACGAGGGTAAGCAGGCTGAAAGTGTCGGGTATGCGCCTCGAGAATGGAAGTGCTCTTGCGTCTCTGAGTGTTGTAGGCCTTTGGAGGCCCAGTAGGAGGAGGTGAGAAGGAAATGGGACGCTCAGGGATAGAGGGGAAGAAAATAGTCGGGGGGTCTGGGAGAGCTGGAAGAGGGACGTTCCCTCCTGCTCCTCCTCCTGTGCTTGGTCCTCCGCTGAAAGGGTGTGGCATTGAATGCTGCTGTGACAGTGAGATACAATGGATTTAAGAATGACACTCAGAGAGAATGACACAGAACCACAGTAAAGGCCCAATGAAATGGAGAAAAAGAGCATAATTTCAAAGAACACCCCAAAATAAAAAGGGGGATGGGGGGTAGTCACCTTCTACACTTAAAGGAAAATTATGTGGTTAAAAGCTGTTTAACAAAGTGAACCAAACTGGTAATGAAGAGATGGGAAACTGGTTACAATAGACAGATCAAGTCACACACAGCTACAGCACAAAGACAAAAGACAAGACAGAAAAGGACAGATATACACCATCACAGGTGGAGAGAAAGTGAGTTATAAAATGCAAAGAGAGGAAAGGTTGTCTCAAAGGTTGACATTATCCTAATGCATCTGCAATCAGGAAAATTGTGTTTTATTTCAAACATATCTCTGCAAAATGTTGACCTTTTAAGCAGCCAGCTGCCGCTTGCAAGAAAAGGTAGACCAGAAAGTGCAAATATCTTCTCACAGATTCTTCAACCATCACCTACGTCAGCGGTCCCCAAGCCTCGGGCCGCGAGAGCTGAGGCTCGGGTGTGAAATTTATGGTTTTCAGGGCTTTTATTGTTAACTCTGTTTCCCTAGGTCTTTTCCCGTGTTGTAGTTGTGCGTCTTATTTTGAAAGAAATGTTTACGCGTTACCATTGTGACCAGAGAGCATTAGGGGGCAGAGAGGAAAAGCTCGTCCTGAAATGTGCCAACTCTCAATGTTGTTGGCGCATTTAAGGAGGACGCTGCTAATAAAGTTACAAAATTACACGGCGAATATGCGTTTATTATTACATTTACAAAATACCACAGTTTTTGTCTTGGTCGTATCATTTAATTTTGTTGTATTTATCCGTGACACCTTAAAGGCCGGTCTGTGAAAATATTGTCTGACATTGAACCAGTCCGTGGCGGAAAAAAGGTTGGGGACCGCTGACCTACGTCACATCTTCGCTGTCTCTGCATATTATGGGAACATCCTGCATTGTTTTTATACCAAATTGCTGTAAAGTAACCAGTTTTCCTGATTCAGGATGCACATTTTATTAGAGCATTTGACTACAGAGCAGGGTTAAAGTAAAGTGCAATCACTGCGTATTTAATAGGACTATGCGGTGGCCAGTGGAGGCAGAGAGAGTTTTATAGAGAGGTATGTCTAGAATCAAAGACTCACAAAAGAGTCTGAAAATCTAAATGGAAAAAAAAGTGAACACGTAATACACGTATTTTTGTGTAACAGGCTTGCTACACTAACCCTTACAGGAAGTTTGAGAACTTAAGTAGCGCTAATCTAAGCATACTACATCTAGTTCATGTAACTTTTAACTTTTACTGAATTTCTCTGAAGCAATGAGCTTGTATATTTTCTATATTTAATAGTGCAAATGTACATTTCTTAAGATCAACAAAGGACCTTATCCTGGTTGCTTAAACCAGAAAAATGTTCAAATCGTAACCAAGAAAAATAATCAGCACTGAAACAAACTGCATCAGTTAGTAATATGTACATGGTGTCATATTGTGTTTCCATATGCAGCATCACTTGGAACTTTTCAATAATGCAATTTTGCATTTTTATAAATCTTTCATTTCAGACTCAATGTGGCCCATGTCCATCATCTTTTTCTCTCTCGTCCTCTTTGGTTCCACCACTATGGCCCAATTATCTCTTTAGAACCTACAGGGGTTGAGAACAGGGCAGGTAGGCTGGCCCGCCGCTGCCTGGCCCTGGGCTGAGACGAGGCAGAGTGAAGGGGCAGGACTGTCTCCAGGGCCTTGGAGAGGCACCTAGTGAATGTGTCCCTCTCTGATGTGAGAGGTGTGCATGATGAGGCAGTGGTGTAAGGGGACGAGGAGGACAGGTCTGGAGGTGTGGCGGGCTGTTTTGGAGGAACAACCAGGGACGGAGGAACGTGAGAAAAGGAGTAGGAGGAAGGGGGAACGCAAACAGACATGCTACGACATCGACGGTGGTGCGACACAGGCTGCAGGCCAGGGAGGTTGATGGAAGAGGGAGTGACCAACATGAAAAACAAACACAAAAAGAAAAAAAAAAGCAGGAGAAAAGGTACTTAAACACAGATTGCAGCAGTTATAGAGAAACTTAAAATAAAAACCAAATCATACCATAAATAAAAGCCACAGTTTTACAGTTTTTACATCATCGAAAAAAAACCCAACAAAACAATTACAGTTATTTTGTGAGCGAAAATGTTTCAGATTTATAAACAACAACTTTCTCAATGGAGCTAATCATTTGCAAGTCATCTATCATACCGTTAAAAGTGTCCAGTTTCACAAATATCACAAAGACACAAAAATAAACTGTAAATTAAAGAAACAGAAAAAAATATGTCAGACTTCAAATAGAGCAAAGAATGATTTTTCAAAATAACTCATTAGGACCTCATTTGATGTTAGAAACAAGCCAGTCTGTCTATTTCACCACCTCCAAAAATTGGCTTTGATGAGAAAATAAGCTTCCTGAGTAATTCAGTTGCAGTTCAAAGAAAGCCTTGAAAGGACATTATTTAGTTATATAGTCAATCGGTGTACATCTAGGGGAACAACAGCAGTCTCAGTCTGTGTGGATGCTGGTAATTTAGAAGTCAGATGAGGGCATAGAAACCAGAAGTCATCGCGTGTAATGGCGAAAATTAAAATGAAAACGTTCACTCTCCATTACCACTACTTTTAACAAGAAATGTGATTCATACGCTCCAGATATAAATAAGTCAACCTAGATCTAAATCTTGGCCACTAAGAGAAAGCGCATAAAACTATGTCAGGTCCTTGAGAAAAAATATCTAATGCATTGTAAATAAATAATGACCTGCGAGTGATCTCAACATGTTCCTGTTTGACGTGTGTCCAAACAGATGTGCCCGACTATGAATGAATAAAACAAATGAAATACACCAAACAGAAAGAAATAACAGAATGACCGCAAAAATGAAATTTATAACTGTAAAGGAAAAAATATATAGAGACACAAGGACAGGAAAGCAGGGTTTAAAGACAGAGAAGAAAGGTGGTAACTGTCGGATAATGAGAGATGCTTTTTTTTGGAATAAAGAGAGTACTCACTGACATCCAAGGTACAGATGATGACATATGGTACTACGCTGGTAGTACAGACATAATACGTCTGACTATGTTTGACCTTACTGATGGATTAAAGTGGCTGAAATATTATAACTGCCATACTGGGTTAAATGTTGAAGGCTGCATGCCTCAGTGAAGAATAAGTCAAATCAGTGCCTTGTGTTATTTATCTTCCTGAAGTGTAATAAAGTTATCATCTTCAAGTAAAAGCCAATTAACTACATTCTTTTATTTTTATAAATTCAGGCGGCTGAAATTCCCCACACCATTTCCAAACACCGCAAAATTCATTCCAACTCACTCCCACTCCAACACATGACGCAGCGCTCACTGCAAACTGACGAGTCATGTTTAATCACATCCGTGAGCACCGAGAACATTCTAACCGTCACCGATGTGGCATGACTGTCACGTGTAGTGACTCATTTGAATGAAAGCTCCACTTACCATTGGCTGCAGCGGCTGGGCGTAGCCCGGGTGCTGCTGTGGGGTAGCGGAGGGGGTGGGGGGATAGGGGGTCTGGGGCTGGGGCTGGGAAGGAGGCTGGCTAGAAGGGGTGCAGCTGTACGACATGGTCAGCTGACCCAGGTGGGGGGAGTCTGAGGAGAAAACAGAGGAACCCTGGCCACTGTCCACGCCTCCTTCAGCTGACAGGGACACAAAAACAGACTTTTTACTGGAGTAAACTTTTCTAATGCCCGACTCTAAATACTGTATCGAATTTGAAAAGTGGACCAAGAATGGCTGCTTCTGATTTGAAGGAAAACATTTAAACTTCCTGGCCTTGGTGGGCAAATATAACAATTGTTGAAATCGACTATTTAGACTAGACCTCCTTATCTGGGTACTTACATGTGTGTGAGATGCTCGCCTGCTGATAGAGAAGCTGGTGCTGCTCCACTTCGGTCTCCTCGGTCTCTGCCTGCAGACAAGCATGCACAGGAGAGGGTCAAACTGAAGCAAAATAAGAATAAAACTCCTATTTCTCTGACCCTAATGTAAAAAAAAATGACTCCACCATATGATAGGAAGAGCAAGCAGTGGATAGAAATGACTGATATGCTTACATGTTGGAAAAACAGGGCTTTAAGTAACTGACTAAAAAGTGAAAAACCTAACATACCAGATCTCAGTGTGCTCTTGTAACCATGACTACATCAGAAGAGGATGTGCCACCTTCAAATGTTTGATAGTAAGTCCCAATCCTTACTGTGAACTGTTCTTCGAGACTCTTTTGGTTGGTTGTAATCATTTGAAAAACAAAAAAAAAAACAAAAAAAAAAAACACTTGCGGCTGCCAGTGGTACCCCTCAGCCTCCTGGTAGATACACCTATCTACCTACCTATCCTAATTCTTGAGCTTGTGCAGTAGATGGCTAAGTAATTGTTTTCATTACAAACCTTAAAAAGAATACTAAACTGCACCAAAATCAGTCTGCTGGTTCAATAGACTTATTAAAGTGCTTTTTAACTTAGACACCAAACTAATGCGTCAGTCCGACAGACCTGTGTGTGTGAAGCTTTGTGTGTATCGTGTTGTTGCTGTTGCTGCTGCTGCTGCTGTTGTTGTTCTGCCTCCAGCTTCCTCTTCTCCTGTTCCTCTCGTACCAGCTGCCTCTGCTCTCGCTTCCTCCGGATCAGAGACACGCGGTCCTTGATGGCCTTGGCCATGGTCTTATGGTCAGCCTCAGCAACATAGCCAGACTCAACCTGCGGGATTGAAGAGAAGTCACTCAGAGACACACACAAAAAAAAAAAGGCACAACTCCATTTAACGCCATTCATCATTCCTATATGAATGAATGTCCCATTTCCATCTCTCATTACAATATATTTCTTTCCTCATTCCCATATATCTCCTCTGTCCTTCCTAAATCCATCATTTTCTCCCTCTGACATCCATTATTCCACAATGAATGGAGTAATAAATGGATTTGTTCCTATTCACTGTACTCACCATTTCTTGGGCCACATCTTCGGGGACGTCCTTGTTCAGGTCAAAGGAGAACTCGATGGCTTCGTTGTCTTTGTATTTTCCTGCAAACATGTTAAAAATTGCCAATCAGGCAATTACCTATAGTATTAATGTACTGTTACTGGTTGTCCAACAAAACATGCGCTTTGGTTTTTGACCAGTTTAATATATTGAACCACTAAGAAAAACGGCTACACACTTATATCTGAACACATATGACAAATAGAGTCAGATTTTGTCCTGTGATGTGAATAATGGCATCATCAATAATGATAAAATCATGTTTTACCTTTGAGCTTCTTCACGTCTTCTATCCTGAGCCACAGTTTAATAGCGATCATTTCTCCATCGTCCTCTTCTGCCAGTTCAACCCTGACCCCTGTTTCCTCCTGGAAGAAGGCATGGTTCAACAGGATCTTTATGGCATACCTAGAGAAACAAGGCGAGATGGATCAAGCTCAGTACAATATATTCACTGGAGATTCAACAGGAGAGTTATACCATAAATGAGAGTGAACTGGAATTATTTCTAGATACCACTTGATATCAATTTATTCAAGACCTGCAATCCCTTGTGAGCTGATCCCTAACTCATGAGCTAAGAGGAAAGACAAGGTATTTGAATAATCTTCTGGGAATCGTAACATGCTGACGACATGTTGTCCTTAGATAGCTTTGAAAATTGTGCAATCACTTTTGGAGCCTCCAAATGTTTCCTGGGAAAAGAAAAGTAGTTAAAAAAAACATCAGCAATGCTAAAAATGGTTATTGGTTTCCTAGAAAAATATGAAAAAGATACAGTAACTGAATCTGGATAATTTGGAGAAAGAAGATTTGGAGAGAAAAAAAAGAAGATCGAGTATGAGAGTGAGGGGTAAAGTTGCTTTGGTTAAGCTTGTGAAGCAGAAGACGAGAGACTGTGGTAAAAGTGTTGGCAGGCAAACAGCACGTGCAGAGAAAACAGAGCACTTCTTAATTTCTAACCAAGAAGGCATGAGTTTTTAAGAAAACGTAACCTTTTTTTTAGAGGAGGATTAACGGATCAATCTGTCTACCCATGAAGAGACTAAATAACAATGGAATCGATTAAATAAGGCCATTTTAATTGTTGAGTTTGCAAACATGCAAACATCCACAGCCCAAGAAATCACACCAAGCCCAGATACACATTTAGCATCAATGGTTTTTGTCTGTGACTCACCTCTCATCCTTGTTAGTTCTGATGCAGCAGTCGATAATTTCTTTCACCTCGGGAATGGCTACCTTGTCAAAGCTGGCAGGCTTCACTCCCTGCAAAGCGAAAATAGAAGAGCAGTGAAGGGAAGGAACCTTTCAGAGAAGTCAAACAAGCACACACATAAAGGATAAAAAGAGCATTGTGTGATTTTAGGCTGTCCCAGACAAATCATGACCAGTGTGACTGTATCTTTGGCAGTGGCTCCTGCAAGCAGTTCAAAACTGGTTACTAGAACAATTTTTCCATTAAACAGCCTGACTGGAAAAATTCTGACTGTGCCAGAAATTTAGAGTGACCACTTCTCAACATGATATCTGTTGCTACTTACATATATATATATATACTTACCAACCAAAGCATATAATGACACGGTGATCAATGTAAAATCAATTCAAACGATGTTATAATCATATAGCTAGATCCATTAAATACCAATGTCCTACCCTGTTTGTTACGTCTCAGTTCCTAAGAATGCTAAGGTTACATGTGTAGTAGGCACCTTTAAACTCTTTCCTTAAATAGATGAGATTTACCATAAAGTTGGCATATTTATTCATTTTAGATACAGAATGACAATTAAATGCAAAACCTAAACACCAGATCCCCATATTGAGGTGATCTGGCAGCTCTGTAACACCCTCACTTTTGACTGAAATTCAGTTGCACAGGTCTCTGGTCCAACTGCAATCAATCTCAGACAGATTGTTGAAGGTTTGCAAATAAGTGCTGTTGAACTTATAAACACAAACAGAATACATACACATTGCAATCAGTCTGAGTAAATCTGTGCCGATGAGCACAACTCATCTTTGATGTGTTTCTTTGGAACAGGGCACTCAGCTCAGCTCAGCTTAACTCAACCGATCACCAGAAGGTTGTATTGTGGTTTCCTTCCTATACAAAAGCAAGGCTGCCAAGCGCCTGTGTCATTTTGCAGTTAAATCCCTGTCCTGCACAACTTTGTCACTTTTTCTATTGGAATTTCTGTTCAGGAAGGACTCTGAATCCAAGTAGTTAATGTGAATTTCTGTTTATGCAAAGCTCAACAGATAAATAAATGCAGTATTATCAGAAACAGGCTGCATGTAACTGAAAATTGACCACATTCAATCACAAACTGATAGCGGACTGGTTGCAGACTGACTGCGAGTGGTTCCAGAACTGGTCCCTGTCTTCAAAGGCTCATTACACAAGGTCACAATTATTTTGGTTGTGCCACATCTCCAACCACTTCTTTCCCTTGCATGTCTTTAGCAATTAAGTAAGCAGTCACTACAAATCACATGGTTGTTTTTAGCTTATGATGAAAAATGTCAATCCTGATGGGAGGGGTGTCTTTAATGTCTTCATCCAAAGGTAATGAGGCACCACTGAATGGTTTGGGGAGAAAATTATGCTGTGACATTTAAAGTCATCAGATCTCAACTTAACTGAACACTGAAGGAAGCGTTCGGATCAATGTGAATAGTTTAAATTGGGCTGAGCTATTGTGTTGTCTCTGTGCATTTTGGTGAATGATCAAAGTATTACTGCATTATCAGCCCTGCACTACTTATACTCAATTGAGGTTTAGGGTTTAAACAGCTGACAGACAAGAGGTTCTGAACTGTGAGATTGAGTAATAGTTTGACCCAGGGTTAAATTCCACATAAATCCAGTTGTCCCATCAGGTATAAATAATGAAGTGGAGCCTTTCAGAGCCAATTAAGAGCACATCAACAGAACAAATCAGCAGGAACCCAAAGGGCAGCCCCCTCCAAGGCCTAGCAAACACTGGGAATGACTCCCAAATTATTTGAAAAAAAGAATATAGTTTAAAAAACATTAAAAGAAAAAAAATACACAAGACACAAACAGTGGAAAATAGATGTTAGCGTGACAGGACACAGGTTTTACAGAGTAAGAGATTTTTCAGCACTTAGAAGTAACTGCAGCAGGAACAAGGGACGCCTGAAATCCCATCTAGTTTAAGCCACACAGCATAGCAGAAAGCATCCTAATGAGCTGGACTTTTGTTCAAATCCATTTTATACTACAGAGAAACAAAACAGACTGAAGCAACCACAGACAAGAAAGTCTTGCATGTTCAGTCTTGCATCTCCTAGGTGCCCATCTGAAAAGCAGTTATTAAAAATATGCAACTGGCTGGTAAAACAATCAGAGTCGAGCAAATCTCAAACTGCACAGAAGCAAGAAAAACACATTCAGAACAGCAGGAAGAAGATTAGAGAGAAAGAACAAATCTTTTTTTTTTATCACTTACCAAGAAAGTAGTCAAAGAAATGTGACTGACTGATGCGTTTGGAAAAACAAAGAGTTGTAGGCTACTCTGTTTGACTAACAGCTGCTTGTCAGACACACAAACCAGCAAATGACCACTTCTTTCTGCTCTTCCAGCTTCCTTTCCTCCTTTCTTTTGTTTCTTGGCATGTTTCTCTCCTGCTACCCCACCAGTTCACCATTACATAACAACCCTATCTCTCTCCTTCTCCCCATCACGCACACACACACACACACACACACACACACACACTCTGAGATTCCAGGGCCAAACAAAGTTAGGACTGACAGGGGACGTAATGCTATTAAGCCTGACAGAAGAAGAAGAAGAAGAAGAAGGGGAGAGGGATGGAGAGAAAGCTAGATTTTAGTTTAATAAGGCTGATTGGAGGCAAGGAATGTTCCAGGATGAGAAGGACAACGAAGCATGTCAACAACACAATTTGTCAAGCTATAAGAAGCTAAGCCATAAAGCATACCCAACACATCTTCCTGCCAGTGACGCACAAATCATACAAAGAGCCTTTTTTTATTTCTAGAAAAGAACCAATTAACAGAATTTCCTGCCAAACTTTTTAAAAGTGGAAATGTGATCCTTATTTGTCTTTTCTTATATCATATATGCTACTGTTAACATGATAGATGCTTTTTGGGAAATGTTGAGAGGAGCATCCGAGGCTGCTCTAAATATTCTGTTTTAGGCTCTTGGCTCAATGTGATGTCAGTGAGAGGATGCGAGCAACAGGGTCATCTCAGCACACAGCTCTGGCTGCAAGAAGAGCCGGTGGTGTTCGAATCTTTTGTTTGGGAGGGGAAGTAAATGCAAAGGCAGAGGAGCAACTGGAGCTACCGAAGCAGCTTGCTGCAGACAGCAGACAATGAAATAACATCTGGTTACAAGAGGTAGTGAGTTGAGTTTCTCTCCATCTGTTTCAGCTAAAACATATCAGGGGTTAACTAACTCATGACCAGGGTCTACAGGGGGAGAAATGGAGGATGGAGAGCTGGTTGCATGGATTTGGCAGTGAAATGAAAGGAAGCAGCTGACCGAGGCACCCTGGCGTTGCCACTGTGTTGAGCGTGACAACAACTGACGTTAGCTATTTGGCCAGTTACGTCCAGTTCATGGGAAACAAGCAGAACAAAGCATCACTACGATAATGTAATAGTTTGATCAAATTGATGATGCGATTTTGGTTTTGTGAGACAGAGAAGAAAGACAAAAACCAATCAAAGAACAGGAAGGTAAGAGAGGCAGAGAGCCAGACGGACATGTGGACTGAAATATACTGTCTGAGTTTATTCCGCCCAGGAAGCTTCTTAAATTAAAACAAGAGATTCAAAGACTGAACGATGAAAGAAGGAAGAAAAACAGGGAGGAAATCCTAATCCAAATCCCTTCAGTTTGAATGGGCTGGACTGTATGGATGGACACTAAAAGAAGCTGAAATGAACATTTAAATTGAATCTAAATGCACATTAATTAGAGTTTTAACACATGGGTTATTAAGATAAGAGCCAATCAGCTCCTAGTGTGGCTATTAAGTTATTAATTTTTAAAGCTGGACTCTCCTCAGGTAACAGCAGCAGTTGTTTAAGCTGGAGAGGATCCTGCACTCATCCGTAACAAATGATAAACTTCTTTTAATTCAACGACATGCACCGTTAGCCTGGAATTCCAAAATAACTGTAGAGTGTTTGAGCATCCTATTTGTTTAGCACTGATACTTTAGCAGCATTAAAAATGTTCCATTTTCAAGAATCATTACACACACAAAGTGTCATGTTCCTGAGTCCTGGACCGACGGTTTTAAATTTAAGACTCTGATTCTTGTTTGTTTAATATTCCATTTGGGTTTTTTCCTCCAGTTCCTGTTTATACACATTAGCATTCTGGTAAACATCACTGGAAATTTTTATGTTATCCTTCTACCACATCCCTCTTGTGTCTTTCTGTGTCAAGTTTAGGTGTGACAGAATCTTAAATCTGGGTGTAGCAGGTCACCTATTTTATTTTGGTAGTCTTTTGTCTCCTGTGTTTTGTTACGCTCAATTACTTTCACCTGTTTCCTCTCATTGTCCTTGAATAAATTAGCAATATGTGTTTCATTTGTTCATTGTCCTGTTGTATTGTTTCCCCCATGTGTTGTGGATTTTTGGCACTTTGCATTTTGGCCTCAGTTTTAGATTTATGTTTTGGACTTGTGAGCCACGACAAAGACGGGGCTTTTGTTTTGAACTCGGCCCCTCTGTCCTGCATTCAGATCTTGAAAATGAGAAGAGATTTCAAGAATATTCCTCACGTCTATTAAGCATCACTGTCAGCATCTAGAGAGCTGAGTCGAGTGACGAAAAGAGGGAGACAGCGCTCATCTGTCTGTCTGTGTGTGTGTGTGTGTGTGCTGGGGTGATGACCTCAGCAGCACTAGGCTTAAAACAGCCTGCATCTGGTCCTCTCTGCATTTGCTTTATTGTCTGTCTCTCCAGCCAACTGTCAACTAAATTTTAGAAAAGGAGGGACATTAACAAATCTGAGAAATCTTATAAAATCTGACTGGATGGGATGATGCCAGACGAAGAAAAGAAAAAAGTAGGAGTTTGTGCCAGTACATTTTTTGAAATGTAATTTGTGGCAATCAGAAGACATTTTCAATAACTCAACAAATAACTAAACTCACCAGACAACATAAAACCCATGTTATTACTTTCATTACGCAGAAAATTTCATTACTGGAAATATTTCTTCTTCTTAAATTTGTCATTTCAAAACCAAATTAATCTTTTATTAGACTAAAGCAGGGGCGGGTAACTCGAGGCCTCAAGGGCCGGTGTCCTGCAGGTTTTAGATCTCACCCTGGGTCACCTGAATCAGATGATTAGTTCATTATCAGGCCTCTGGAGAACTTCAGCTGTGTTGGATCAAGGCCACATCTAAAACCTGCAGGACCTTGAGGCCTAGAGTACCCCCCCCCCCGACTAAAGAAATCACTTTTTTGTCATTCATTGTATTTTGAACTAAAAATCTCTTTTGTAAAGAGTAAAGAGTAAACACAGAACCTTTGTTTAAACCTGATAATTGATTAAATGCAACCTCAAAAACGCCCCAGAGTGCTACCAGTGTTCCCACTACCTCCCCGCTGGGGGTGTGGCCTATTCCCTCAGGCGGGCGATAAAAATACGTTATTCTCATGCACGGTTTCATTTCAGCGCAGTGTGTCACTCTCACTGCTTTTGCTGACATTTATGGAGGTGAACTGTACTCTCCCCAGCTCGGCTCACAGCGTTAGTGTTTATGGGACAGTTGAATTAATTATACTGCATTACACTAAGTGGAATAAAAGCGTCTCAATAAGTGTCAATTCGTCTAAAATAACTATAGACTGACTATCGATTTCAGATTTGCGTTTGGGAAAAGTGCTTTCCGTTCGCTTTTATCCCTTCGCAAGACAAACTGCAATGTAGTGTGAGAGGGAGAGAGCATAAGCAAAAGCATAAGACTAATCAGGGCAAAAACACAATCATATGACTGGATCTTCTGCAGCTCATGCCAAACTTGTTAATACAGTCAGTAAACAAGGGTGAGGAGGAGTGGCTCACAGCGGAAAATAGAGACGAGAGGCAAAAACAACAAACGAGACGGTTAGATACAACATAAATGGGACCAACTGGTTTCCTACCACTCTCAGCTGATGCACCTGCAGGTACAGACTGAGCAGAGAATGCACACTTACACTAGTAACTCGTCTGTAGATCTGGGCAGCGTTTTGGCATTCGGAGTAGGGGTACTCTGAGGTAGCCATCTCCAGCATACACATCCCAAAAGCATAGACATCTACAGATTCATCATACTTTTCCTCATACATCTCTGGAGCCATAAACTCTGGTGTACCTGGTGATTAGAAAGTGGAGAAAAACATGTATGTTATGCTAGGACATGCTCCTAACTTGCACACCATGATGTACAAATACTGTAAAAATGATTAAACATAAAATCAGAGATTGAAATCTAATAAACTCCAGCTGGAAATAAAAGGGCTAAAATTTCAAACCTGCATCCACTTAGTGCTGCCACAGACTCAGTTTGTGGAAGTGAAGCCTGAATACTTGAGGTTTGCCTAATTGCTACAAAGAAGCAGTGAGATTTACTGAGCTTCTCATTCTTGTCTCAAGTGCAGAGAAGAGTGTATATTTACGTACTTTGTGCGAGCAGAGCTTGAATACCTGTGGTCAGCTGTACAACAAAACTACTGAAAGGTACCCAGGTTATTACGAGGGAAAACTGCAGACTCAAAGTATGTGTCATAAACATTGTCCGAGTGCGGTGCACTTTCGGTTTATGTGTTTGTAACGGTTACATTTCCAGACAACTGAATCTCAACTTACTAACAGTTTCTTCGGAAGCCGTATCACTTTTCACATGCCTGCGGTTCGCTTTAACAACCAGACATTTTTCAAGTAGTAAAATTTATCTACAGTGGGCGTGTACATAATGTGCCTATGCATGTAAAGTGGTTATTATCGCCGCAGCGAGCTCAAATAAAAGATCCCAGTTATTTCAGTTTCGCAGCCTTCGCAAACCACATTTTTGTGTCTTAGCATTTCTGAGAATTTGGGATGCTGCGTATGCACCGTCCTACCTATGACGCTCTTGGCAAAAGAGGCTCTCTTCAGCGTGGCCAACCCCAGGTCCCCTATCTTCACCGAGCCCGTGGGCCCTGTGATAAAGATGTTGTCGCATTTCAGGTCTCTGTGAATGATGGGTGGCGCTCTGGTGTGCAGGAAGTGAAGGCCTTTCAGGATCTGTCTGCACCATGAACGCAGAACTTTGATTTTCATCACCTTGAATCGCTTCAGGTAGCTGCAGGACAAAGAAATCTCACATAAGAAACTGTGTGTTTTGCAAAGCAAGAGAAAGTGGTCACGATTATGCACACAGGAGGAGATTCAGCTCTTGTATCTTGTTCAAGTGGCCTTTGTCCCGGCACGCTAGCTGCCAGCATATGGCCTCTCAGAATATCACACTGTGTAAAACCAAAAGCTACAGAAAATCACTTTTTTTAATGCAGCTGCTCTACTCTGCATAAAAAACTATGAAAGACACAGCTATGCAAGTACCGAATAAGGGAGTAAAAAAGCAGAAACATGTAGTGCTGCACATAAATGTCTGAAAGCAGCTGTAGAGTCAATTAGCAGCCAGCACTGATAATCTCTGTCTTTATTCAGCAGATTGTTATTTACTTGTTTTCTCCGAAGGCAACTGTACACAGCAATCAAAAGGTTTCGACTACTGTCCCATACATGCAACATGTGCCTGCACCGGCTTCTATGAATCGGGATTGTATCTTACGTTGCTTATAATTCAGCCAGATCTACTTCTGCATCAGTTCTTTTTTCTCTCTCTTCACTAAACTTGGAACACATCCCAGTGAACACCCTGTGGAAAGCAGGGAAACACCCTTTGACAGGTTGCCAGGCCATCATAGATCCAACTCAGATCCACACCTGTGGGGGATTGAGTCGATCCACCTGGTTTGTAAGTCTTTGGAATGTGCGAGGAAAATGAGAGGAAATTCCACAGGAATGTTACAACAAAACAGCAAAGTACTGTGAATCTAGACTGAACATTTCTCCTATTCTTAGCAAAGCACTGCACTTGATTGATTTTGTTTTTGATTAAATCAGAGGCAGTTCTTGTTATTTCCAAGAGCTCTAAGAACTCACTCAGAAAACATTTGTCTGTCTTGATTAGCTGACTGAAAATCAATTCAACTCTACAGAGAAATGTGCGTCTTCCTCTTCTTGGTGTTGTGCCAAATGTGACCAATGAGCACAGTAGGTAGGGCGTACTCCTGAGTCTTCTTCATGGTGTGCTAATTTCACAGCCTTAAAGCAGGCAGAGGAGCTAAGTAATCGTGGCTTTGATCTAATTAGTGTATTTAATTCAATATCCAAGCTTAGCTCAGAAATGTCCCCATGGATCTGGTGAATAGCAGGCAGCTGACTGAACTATAGACTGACTCTGCAAACAATGTTTCTGTCTCAGCCAGCAATGCCCTCTTCCAGCTCCGCTTCCAGACAGCTGACCCGATGCAGAGCGACATCAATAAGTCTGACTCCAGCATTATCGTCAGCTCCACGGTGTCACTGGCTGCTCTAATAATTCAGCACCTGCAACTCTGTCCTAACTGACAAGTAATTCTCACATAACACCGTGTGAGCATTACACCATAATAGAGCGGTGTGCTTAAGCCACAGACTGCTGTGTTACAGCCACAGAGGCTCAACAACTTTTAGCTGTGACCCAGTATCTTTGACGGAGCAGAAAGCATCCATTAACGAGCAATGGAAAGTACACTCACTGAGTGCTGGGCTTAACTGAACATTTCCATTTGGTGCCACTTTATACCTCTACTCAACTTCTTCCCAGAGAAAAACACTGGATATTTGCATCCTATACTTCTTTCTAAAATCCTGCATGCATTCCTGAGGCTGCCTGGGGCCTTTCTTTGTGGAGTTTGCATGTTCTCCCTGTGCTTGTGTGGATTCCCTTCAGGTTCTCCAGCTTCCTCCCACAGTCCAAAGACATGCTGGTTACATATGTGCTTATAAATTGGCTGTAGGTATGAATATGAGTGTGAATCTTTGTCTGTCTCTCCTATGTTAGCCCTTTGATAGACTGACTAAATCTTCCCAAGGTGCATCCTGTCTCGCGACAGCTGGGATAGACTCCACCCCCCTGTGAACCGGATAGATGGGTGAACAGATAGATGGCTAATTATTAAAAAACAACTTTAATTCAGCTATTCTGCTATATAGTAAAGTCTTTACCCTGATTTTTAACAATCAAAGTCTTCTATATGCCTCTTATTTTAATCCTCTAACCGCTTTTCTATGGTTTGTCATTAAAAGCCTTAAAAATCTGGGTAAATTCAATTTGTTTTTCACAGGGAGATGGCTTTCAGTGTGCAGAGCATAAATAATAATTTTAGGGACTATTAAAGTGAACAAACCTTAAAATGTGCATGTGAATAACTTAAGTTCTCTCTATCATACTGCATCTCTCCTGCTACCTCTGATGTCTCTCTTAAGAAGCCACACGCCTTATCCTCTTCTTCCCCCTTACCTAAGTCCCCTCCTCGCCCATCCCCTCTGCTTTCTTTCTTTTGTCGTTCTGAAGTCAGAACAGCGTTGAAAGACAGGGAAAATGCTGTGGCATGCAGAGTGACGCCGCAACAAAGCATCGAGCGAGCTTGCACGCTCACTCAGCCACGCTATGTTTCCAAGCACGCAAATTAGCACTTGTAGATACACGAACGTGCGGCTCTCACGAGCAGTGAATAGAGTTTTTATTATTTGTGAACAGACAAGTATTCTTCCGAAAATAAACCTTTACAAAACAAAAAGATGACAGCAGTATAAACATTTCTTACACACACAGATGCACACAGATAAGGGCACTCCATGGTGGCAAGTATTTCCATCCTATCTTCCTCCCCTATCACCCTCCCATCATCTCCCTTTCTTTTTCCCTCTCTTCAGCGTGCAGCGGTCCCTCTCCTTTCTGAGTATTTTTCTGGATGACGGCCAAACCCCTCGGATGCCTTGATCCTCTTCATAAGGGCACATCCATCCGCTCCATTTAGTCTTAAACAAAGAAAGCTTGTTGTGTCGATCAACAAAAAGTTAATCAGCAACAATTTTGATATAAAATTATTCTTTTGCAAGTATTTTTTCCCCTCACTGGTTCCAGTTTTTCAAATGGGAGTGTCTTCTGGTAAACACGATGTTGCGTCTTTGTTTCAATATGTGCATAAAAACACATTAATGGAAAATAAAAGTAACCAGAATTGCAATCCTGATATCACGTATGCATCATGTATCTATAAGAGTTCAATGCACTGCTTGTTACTTGTTACTACTTTGAGTATATTATAGTTGTTTGGCACACACTTCTGGATCCAAGCAGTTTTTTGGATTTTCTGACTGAGGTCTTTTCTGAATATTTAATTTAATCATGTAAAATTCAAAAAGAAGAAAAAGGATACAGCTCTTCTTCTCTCTCTTTTTTCTTTTCTCACTCAGTAGGTAGTGGGGAGTTCCAAAAAAAGTTGGAAAATAGAAAACTATATTTGCTAAATGTGTGTTTATTCTGTGGTGTATGCAGAGGACTGAGCGTGTCTGCGCAGCTTCTCTGTTAAAAAAAAAGTATGAAATTTTTGTAGTCCTCCAGTGGAGGGCGCTACGGTCCTTGTTAGTGCTGTTAGTGCTTTGCTCACAGGTTTGTCACTCTACCGAGCGGCTTTCAAACTGTACGTCTAAGTATCCGTTTGTCTATTCATCAGAATATTTGCGCATAACTCTCTCACACTGTAGTCTTCTGTCTCCCTCTCTGTCACTTTAACCTAAACTAAGTGGACGATGACCAGTGTCACTCCTGAATGATGTCGGGAATGAGAGGAATGTGCAGCAGAAGCAGCAGCTGGCAGGTGGGCCAGTGTCGCATGATGTACTGTATGACGCAGGCTGTGTCACCCCACGTTTAGCCTTCTGTTGTGTCAGGAGCTCAACAATAGCATTGACAAACACAGATGCACATCTATTCTAATCGGCAAAGAGGCTGGCATTCAGTCACGGCATGTGGGGTGACAGTCTGAGAGGCAGACACTGACAACTGCCCGTTGAGCTGGCAGGCCATCGACGTACAGTTTGTCACATATGTATGCTGAAAATTACTTCAAACACGTTGATGAACATAACAGTGTTGACACACCCTCAAGCTTTTCAAATCCCAATCAGACTCACAGAGGCCCCCAGGCTGAGAGTGTAACCTCACAGGATCCCAACATGTGTTGTGTCCTTTGCCCTGATAAGATCGAGCCATTTTCGGCGACACGAATGGGACCGCAGCAGTTTTATTCAACTGTTTGGTGTCCAAAAAGATAAATAAATAAAAACTCAAAAACTGCATCAAAGTTTTGATGATTCTGCGTCATTTCACCCTTTGTGGTGATGTAAGTGACATAAATACCGTACTTAACACAGGCAGGCTGGCTGACTCACAGCTGCAATCAGCACTGAAACATCAGGATGTGAGGTGCTTTTAACAGTACTGTGAAAGGCCATTTGAACATATGAAAAGAGAGAAAGACTGCAGATCAGTTTAATAGCAAAGAGGACGACACGTGTGTGTGTGTTTTACATTTCAATGAAAGACTGGAGGTGAGTCATCATCTGTGCTGACAGTGCTCTTCAAGAGAAAAATGTCAGAATGGACTCTACTGTAAGTGTGGGTGTTAACATCACCTTTCAGTCACAGCTATAGTTTTCAGTTCATGCACATGGGTCTGGTGTCCTAATATCTGGCTTCTCAGAAGATTCCTGCACAGCTTCTTAATCTTAAAAGTCAGCAAATTAACATGTTGGAAAAGAAATTCTATCCCTCATATACTCACGTTTTTAGCGTGCCAGATGTCATGAGCTCAGTGACGAGAACAATGCATTTCTTTCCTTTGCAGGGACCCTCCCAGGAGTCATAGAAGCGGACAATGTTAGGATGCTGGAGACCCTTCAGCATGCCGGCCTCCTCTTTGAACCGCTGACGCTCGGACTTGGACAGTTTACGATCCTGCAAACGGGACAGAAAGGGAAACTTGGTCACATGTACACAAAAACCGAGAGAAACGTTACAACGTGAATGAGAAGGGAGGGAATGTTTTTCCTAAATTAATGCTGTGTCAGTAGTACAACATTATTACAGCATGTGCAATTACAATCAAATCAAGTCGGGAAGAGGCTCGAGGGCTGGAGAGGAGAGCTAATCAGAAGAGAACAAAGAGATTACGCAGAAACGAAAATGGGAGGGGAGGAGAATGACAATTCCTATGAAACATGACTCCATATAAGCTCAGAGAAACTGATAACAATAATCTTTTACACTGATGAACAGCAGCTGAACATACTGTACTGAAATACAAGTGCAGATGAAACGGGGGGGAAACCTGATACTATCCGAAAACCTTTCTGCATTACACTAGTAAAGGACAGGGATAAAAGAGAAGTGTCCTTTCATCTTAACTCAAAGACTCCACAAAAATCCATTAGACAGAGTGACGAACAGCTCTACACTCGATCTTCTTTTGACCTGAGCTGTGCGATATTTATTGGTGAAGCACTCTGTTTCAAACCAAAGGCTAATATTCACACCTGTGTTGCATTTATGTGTTCATGAAATTTTGCCAGCAGTCCTACATTTACAAAATTAGTCAGTGTTCAACCAATTGACAAGCTACTCGGGTGACTATTTTATTGGGAAATATAAAACTGTTAGGGTTAGAGGATGATTTAAAGAGAAGTTCATTGTCTGAAAACCCAGAACCAGAAAATCATAAGACGCTAACCCCCCCCCCGATCGCTATCTAAGTGAAAATGGACTCAACTGCTGCAGTAAATGGCTTCTTGATAATGAACACACATCAAATCCTCGGCTTCCACCACCTACGTCATCATTGTTATTCTCAATGGGAATTGCAGTCTCCAGCACTTGCACCAAGCTTCAGCTGTCTTTACCTGAAGTGGTAGCAGCCTCCCAGTAGGAGGTTGACCAAAACAAGCTGAGAAAAAAAAAAGCCACAGTCTGCATTCCTCCCTCCTGTGGAATACTGGCTTCTCAGAAACATCCTCCACACATTTTAACAGGAATTCCAGCTCAACCACTGATACCTCAATAAAAATGCAAAAGTCAATGTTAGCAGGGGACCTGCTGTAAAAGATTTTCAGCATGCCCACGTTTGTGCGTTTGTACACTGACAAATATGTCAGGAAAATCCTACTAATAAACAAGTGAACGATCACTCTGTGCTGTCTTTTTGTTGTTATTGTCTTCTTTGGGCTCTTCCTGTCATCCTGGAGGTCACTTCCTGTAAAAAGGGAGTTCTTCCTCCCCACTGTCACCAAATCATTGCTCATAGAGGATCGTCTGACTGCTAGGGTTTTCACCTCACCACAGAAAGTGCCAAATCCATATTCACAAAATAAAACTAAACTAAATTGTTGCAATTTAAAGGAGTATATTATTTAATAAATTGTGCTAGGTTTGTTTATCAATTTTAGTGGGAATGTCTAATGGTAAGCTTAATATCTGTGTGATTATTTGCTTTTGTCTGCATGTGTTTTGAACCGCTCTTCACCAGCTCTGTGTCGAACCATATTTGACACATTCAGCACATCGCTCCCCAAAAATAAACAAAATCACGGCTGCCTGACGACGATAAAATAAGGTGACGACACCTCAGTACTCACAGGATTTAGGCCCAAAAAAAAGTCTAAACTTCTCTAAATTATTAAGTCTGGCAGTTACAAGCAAGTTGAGCCAGATTTGGGAAAAGGATTAAAACAAAAATGAAAGAGGTGCTCCAATTAACGTGGGACAAAAAGAAATGCGTGCTTTGACAGGAAGTCGTGACACATCCAGGTCGTTTCATAACGTCGGTGACCCTTTTAGAGGATGAAATTATGGGAAAGTGAACTGACAGATTGGTTTACAGATGAGCACAGAAAGAGCAGCAGGATTGACACACGGGGCTGCGTCTCCATCGAGGTGCAGACACCACAGTATACAGTCTAAAAATATAAGAAACGGCAGTGGTTTAGAGGCTATAGACGTCAGAGCTTAGACACCTACTCCCATAATGTTACAGGGATTATCGCCAAGGCAACCACTTTTTAAAAAGAGGTCCAATGAGGGCACATCATTCAACTCTTTTATTTTTTCAGTCCAAAACATCAACGCTGTCTTTCATAAAATGCTGTTAATCTGCTCTTCTTTTTTTTCTAAGCTTTGTATTGTTTTATTTTAGTACTCTATTTGAATATGAATCCGACCCAACACAAAACATCCAGTGCATTAGCAAAATCATCTGAGACAGACGAGACACTTGCCATCAATCATTCAAATGGTTTTAAAGCTCCAGTACACAGTCTGATTTGATAACAGCCCCACAAACCACCCCAAAAACCTTGGACACAGTGGCGCACCGGAAAAATTCCTGAAAATTTAAGTGAACAGATGGAAACTTTTAAATCCAATAAGTAGAAAAAGAAGTGCTGTATGGTATTTTAGATAAACTAATTTAGATTTTATGATGTTAAATCACCATAAAAATACCTTTTATGCAATATTTGATCATTTCAAGCACTTGTGTGTAAATGTGAGGGGGAATTTTCTTCGTTCCTTTTGTGTGTTTCTAAAAGAATAAATCTCCACTTGCGGTACCTTCAGGTTCTTAAATGAATTTCTCAATGATACGACTACTAAACCCCCAGTTTGAGTAGTAGTTTATTTTATAATGATTGTAGTTCTGAAGTCAGTTAAATTGTGTGTACATGGGAATATTTTTCATAAAGAAATAAAAAAAAAACTATCACCGTTTAGACCACCAGCTTTGACAAACAAACAGCCGCTCAAACAGTTCGGCGCTGCTCGGTCACAATGAGCAAGCGTTCGGAAATGTTATAAAGCTATTAGAAAATCTTGTGAGCTCCTTCAGAGATTAGGACAATCTCTGAGGTGATGATCTCATACTGTCATATTGTATAACCCAGGGCCTCATCTATATCATATGACTTCGAGAGTGAGAGAGAGAGAGAGGAGAGGGGGATGTCGGAAAGGTTTAGTGTGTTTCTGAAGTGCATTAATGTGTGTCAGGGAGGGTGTGAGTGTTTTATGGCCTGTAACATCTTATCCCTTTATCCTGCAGCAACCATTCGCCCAGCGATAGCCCATTAGCAATCGACACACAAAACATCCATGTGAGTGCTGACTGTACCCCCTCGCTCTTCTATTATCTCTTTCCTATTATGATCACATGACTCCACGCTCACCATGGCCGTAGGTCACCTGACTGCCTGGAAGCCAGCATTCCATTTCCCAGCAGCACTTAGAAAAGACCCTGACCACTCATATCTCTCCTAAGACACCTCCCTCTGGGCATTAGAAGATTTACTCAGTCGTTGACTTAATCACTCATTCATGCACTCACTGTGTGTGTACTCGCATTTCTCACGAGTAAATGTGCAAAAACAGTCAGATTATAAGCAAGTGTGTTACATGTAACATGTGCTGCATAAGGTGAAGATTTGGTTCAAGGTCAGGTTTAGGGCGCTATGGTTATTGTTACAGTTAGTCTGCAGGAAATGCATCCAAGTCAACACGATGTTCTCTCAAGTAATGAAAACACAAGTGCATGTGTGCGCATTTGTGTCCACAGACATGGGCCTGAGAAAGCAGACAGCAAGTCTAATGGGGCTGCTAATCCATTATTAATGTTTCCTTCTTCGTTCTAGTGTATAAATGGACACACACACACACACACACACACATCTCTGATGCACATAGTAGTAGTGGCTCCAGCACTCTACTCAGAGACAGTGGATTTATATCTAAAAGAAGAGCACGTTTAAAATAAAACAAAGCTGGTGGTAGGATGCGGGTATTTAAGGAATAAATTTGATCCGGGACACATTAGTCACGTTGTTGGGGATGGATGTTTTCTCTCTCCCTCTCTCTCTCTTTATCCCTTCTTTTCTCTCCATGCTTCAAAACATCATGAGACTCGAGTTTGTCAGACTCAAAAATATCCTCACTTTTCATTCAAACCCACATCTCTCTCTCTCATTCTCATACACGTGCATTTAAGCGAGACACGCCTCCACGCTGGAATCAGCAGCCTCTTATCTGACACTCACACACACACACACACACACACACGTACAGGTCTTTTTAACATAAGGACTTCTCACCCTCTAATCCCTGCATTGTAATCTTACTGTGTTCCCTTAGCCTATCTGACAACTTGAAAGAAGCCACGTATACACATCCCTGCATAAGGTGACAGCACTAAGTATGCCTGCCCTATTTGCACAGCACATGCACTCACATACAGCCAAGGTAGTCCAGACAGGCTGGCAGAAACACAACCTGCAGTGTTACAGTATTAAGCAGTTTCCTGCAGAGATGCTGCAAGCTGATACCCTCTGATCGGCTAATTTAGTCTGGACATCCCTCTGTGCTTTAACACTATGATCATGTGATATGCTCCTCTCTGGTCTGTTGCACCCCGACAGGAGATCAACACCCGCAGTACCAGATGGACCGAACAAGAAAACAACGCGAAAGCCAGGAAAGCACGACGTGACTTTGTGGTAAATTTGTGGTATCTTCTTCAAACTTACAGGATATTGTTTAAGTGGCTAATCCCCATGGGGACAACAGATGCCTAAATATAGCGTAAATGATTACACGATTACGTGATGAGAACTGTTTCTCAGGCTTTACATTATATAACAGCAATTTTATTACGTTTTTCTTTTTAATGAAAAGGACACAAACATAAGGAAAAGAAGGGAAAGACACTGTTCTGACAGTTTAATTGGTTGGGAAAATGCTAAACCATCAGGAACTTCAACTGTTTCACCAGCCAAGACTTGTTACATATCTGTTAAAGTTTCTGATCCTACCAGGTGTTACAGGGAATTGAGATCAGGGTATTTCCCAGTGATTTAAAGAAAAATCTGTTCCTGATTCAGAGGAAAAATACCTGCAGGACACCAAGATTTTTAGTGTGTGTG